TAGGTCATTGTTCATCAGCTCTAAGCCACTCTTTAGTTTCCATAAATTAGGATGAACCTTGGAAGTTTGGGTAATCACTACAATTTTTTTAGTATCCATTTTGGGTCCATATTGTCTGAATTGTGAAGTAATTGGCAATTCTGGTAAGTTGGTGCCACCGGGAAAGCCCTGAAGGATGTCATTGCTGTTGGTATCGGTGGCAGCTTCTTTGGTCCTCTTCAAACAGGTCCTCTTTAAAAATAAATTTTTTATTATAAAAAAATGGGTTTAGCCGGGCGGATATACTCTTCAAATATATTATTTAAGAAGTACAGCCGCCGGCTATACAGTCTAAATATATTATTTAAAGGGTACAGCCGAGCGGCTATTATTTAAGGAGGGCCATACTTTTTTAATAAATTATTCCAGAAGTATAGCCGCACGGCTATACTATTTATAAAATAAAATAAAAGGACCCGCCTAGCCCGCCTAGCCCGCCTAGCCGGCCGATTTTCGGAAAACTTGAATCTAAGCTCCACACAAACTGAAAATCAGTATTTTCCATTTTCTGTTTTGGTTTGTGTTATGTTAATTTGGTTGCTATGAAGCTGATGATGAACAAATATTCTTTTACGAACTGAGTTGGTCTGGTTAACAGACCCAAAAGGAGTATGCTGCTTTCTGGGGCTCCAATTGTTGAGTCATCTCTTCTTTCGAATTTTTTTCTTTTTTATCAATTCTCAGTAATGTAATCTGGGTGAAATGCAGCTTTTGGATCCATAAGATGGGCAAAAAGAGTAAATCAAAAACTCCCAGAAAGATGCAAGATAATACAGCTGCTGTAGAAGAAGAAAAACACTCACCTTCGGCCAAAAAATTGCTGAATCATTGGTTAAGATTCAGTTCAGGTTTACCATATATTTTGGTTTTAATTTATGTTTCAATTACTGGGCATATGAAGCCTCATCTGATCCCACTTTCTGCAACAGGAACACTTGGAGAGCAATGAGGGTGATCCTGAGTTACTTGTTTACATTCCGTGAGTATCCACTTTTGTTGTTTTATGTGTCATCTTCAGGACATGAGTTCAAGAATGCAAACATGAAATGGATGGGGACAGGGAGATCCATTGGTTGACTAGTTGTACCTATCTTTCCATATTGTCATTCAATGGTAACATGTTTTGTTAGATCTCCGTGGTCGGATCTGTATGAGTTTGAGTATGGGTTCAACCCTAAGTATCATCTCCAGGTTCACCTAAAACAAACATAACACTTAATAGTGAGTTTGATGGGATACTGTTGGACTACTCGGCCTGCAACAGTAGTGGGCAAACCATTGGGTATGGCAACCGAGGACATGTGACTTTGGCCGGGATCAGTGAGTTGATTTTACCTAAACAAATGAAAGAAACCAAGGTCAAGAAACATAAGTTCTATTATGTAAATCTGTACATGAATTTGATGCAGATTACCTCATAACCTCTATAGCTGTAGCCACAGAAATGCAATCAAAGTTAATAATAACAACTATGCAATGTGTAAAATGACGATACACGTCCAACATAAATTAGAGGGCACCAGTACCCAACATCACTTGAAGAACTAAAATAAAATACCTGGGCTCTATGCAGCACTGAGAGATACTGCTCCCAAAGAGAGCGCATCTTGTGTTACAGATAAATTTTTGACTCAGCAGAAGAAGTTGGAAGTGGATTTGATGTTGCCTGTGAAGGCTACATAGATAAGGTTAGAGCAATCTTAGAAGAAACCAGAAAGACTAAACAAAATCTTGTTTAAAAAAAGAAAAAGAAAATCAGCTAGTGTGGCTGATGAGCAGGAAACATTGGTTAAAATATCTAAAGAAAGCTTAGAAAGTCTACTTTGTCATGAACTAATTCAACACAAGAAATATCCAAACAGACATGTACCTTAAGTGCTTTTGAAATACTTATGTGTCCAAACTGTATGTACTCTATACCACTTGAAAATTAAACCAAATAAGCCAGTGTTCTTTAAACAAAAAAAGATATGATATTCTTGAAACAAACTGCAGAGGATTTAAATGAATAGAGTTCTTAAAAACTGATGAACTGATGTTCTTTAACAAGGTGTGTTGTCATGTAAAAGCTCAAGTTTCTTTTAGGCTATCATTTAAAACATCTTTATTCCCACAACTGTATGTATGCTATATTCTTACTTTTGAGGAGAACACAACCTGTTTATACAAACTAGATCACAAGACTAAACCACAACATGTCTTATCTCTTGTGCCATTATGAATTGAACCATATGCTAGTCCTCATTTGAGAGGAAAACTTCATAATGCAATTTTGATCATTTAGCCTTGAATATTTAAGATGTTGTATTCGAAGAAGTGCTTTGGCAATTCAACCAATACAAAATCTTTCTTTAAACATGATCACTGAAACTTTAGTTAAATCTGTAGGGAAATTTAACTTTGATGGCATGTAGGTGCTCATCTCATATTTTATTTTCTGTAGTGATGAAATTATCTTTCTTTACGATATGAAAATAAATTCTGTAACAAGTGCTCTTGCTGTACACCCAAAAAAACAAAGCTATATGCTACTTCAATCTTTAGAATCAAGTCAATTCATTTATACACCCTGTTAGACAGCTTTAATCCTCCTTAATTTCTATTCCTTATAGTTTTTCTGAAATCAATTATTTTAGATGCACAGCCCTAACAGTTTAAGACTTTTCCTTGCATGTTTTTCTGGTTGTATACTTTATATTCCTTTTACTAGAGTTGCATTAAAGCATATATCAGAATTTCCAGATTCATTATAACTGATTAATAACCAAAACTTAATTATAAACATGCAGAAAAGAAATTCCAGCATATATCAAAGCCTGTAATTCAATGTATACATAACAAATTCATAGGTAAAAAATTAAAAGGGGACAATAGAGACTCGGGTAATGACCTGATAGTAATGGATAATTTTCTAAATTACAATAAAGGGGAAAAAAAAGAGTATAGCGGTGTACAGCCGACGGCTATCCTTTTTAAATATATTATTTAAGGGTTTAGCCGAGGGGCTATATGTTTTAAATAATTATTGAAATCGTATAGCCGGGCGGCTATACTATTTATTTACTTTAAAAAACAGGGGACCTGCGCCTAGGCGGACGATTTTTCGAAAACATGAATGTCGTTTTTTATTAGATTTTTTTTAAATATATTATTTAAGGTGTATAGCCGGGCGGCTATACGGTTTAAATATATATTTAAAGTGTATAGCCGTGCGGCTATACTATTTATTATTAAAAAAAAAGGACCCGCCTAGCCCGCCTAGGCGGCCGATTTTTCGAAAACTTGAATGGCGTTTCTTTTTTCATAACTTCGACTCCAGTTCTTCAGTTAACTACATCTAGAATATTGGTTTTGATCATTATTTCATCTATTTCAATCACATTTCTGGTGACTTTGGATGTAAGTATCTGACAATGATCTCAACTCCTTCCCATCTGGAATCTGCAACAATTTGCTTCTCTATTTTTCCCACCCAGCAGCACCCCACACAAAAATCTGCAGGGCCAAAATGACTCACATTAGAGTAATTGTAGTTTCCAATATGCATCAGCACGAGAAGAAACTAGTTTCAGAGTGTTCAAGAAGGCAAGGGTAGTGACTCTAAGCCACTCTTTGGTTTCCATAAATTAGGATGAACCTTGGAAGTTTGGGTAATAACTACAATTTTTGAGAGTATTCGAAGTGGATTTTGGGTAATCACTACAATTTATTTTAGTATCCATTTTGGGTCCAAATTGTCTGAATTGTGAAGTAATTGGCAATTCTGGTAAGTTGGTGCCACAGGAAAAGCCCTGAAGGATGTCATTGCTGTTGGTATCGGTGGCAGCTTCTTTGGTCCTCTTCAAACAAGTCTCTTTAAATAAATAAATAAAAAAGGGTTTTGCCGACTGGCTATACTCTAAATATATTATTTACAACGTACAGCCGACCGGCTATACCGTTTACAAATATTATTTAAGAAGTACCGCCGCACGGCTATACGGTTGACATATATTAATTAAAGCGTATAGCCGCACGGCCATACCGTTTAAATATTTTATTCCAGAGTATAGCCGCGCGGCTATACTATTTATAAAATAAAATAAAAAGGACCCGCCTAGCCCGCCTAGGCGGCCGATTTTTGGAAAACTTGAATCTAAGCTCCATACAAACTGAAAATCAGTATTTTCCATTTTCTGTTTTGGTTTATGTTATGTTTGGTTGCTAGGAAGCTGATGATGAACAAATATTCTCTTACAAACTGACCCAAGAGGAGTATGCTGCTTTCTGGGACTCCAATTGTTGAGCCATCTCTTCTTTTGAATTTTTTTCTTTTTTGTCAATTCCCAGTAATGTAATCTGGGTGAAATGCTGCTTTTGGATCCATAAGATGGGCAAAAAGAGTAAATCAAAAACTCCCAGAGAGATGCAAGATAATAGAGCTGCTGTAGAAGAAGAAAAACACTCACCTTCGGCCAAAAAATTGCTGAATCATTGGTTAAGATTCAGTTCAGGTTTACCATATATTTTGGTTTTAATTCATGTTTCAATTACTGGGCATATGAAGCCTCATCTGATCCTACTTTCTGCAACAGGAACACTTGGAGAGCAATGAGGGTGATCCTGAGTTACTTGTTTACATTCCGTGAGTATCCACTTTTGTTGTTTTATCTTCAGGACATGAGTTCAAGAATGCATAAACATGAAATGGATGGGGACAGGGAGATCCATTGGTTGACTAGTTGTACCCATCTTTCCATATTTTCATTCAATTTCAGTGGTAACATGTTTTGTTAGATCTCCATAGTCGGATCTGTATATGGGATTCAACCTTCCTAAGTAGCATCTCCAGGTTCACCTAAAACAAACATAACACTTAATAGTGAGTTTGATGGGATACTGTTGGACTACTCGGCCTGCAACAGTAGTGGGCATGGCAACCGCGGACATGTGACTTTGGCCGGGATCAGTGACAGTTGATTTTACCTAAACAAATGAAAGAAAACCAAGGTCAAGAAACACAAGTTCTATCATGTAAATCTGTACATAAATTTGATTGTCAATAACCTCTATAGCTGTAGCCACAGAAATGCAATCAAAAGTTAATAATAACAACTATGCAATGTGTAAAATGACGACACACTTCAAACATAAATTAGAGGGTACTACCAGTACCCAACAACATCACTTGAAGAACTAAAATAAAATACCTGGGCTCTTTGCAGCACTGAGAGATACTGCTCCCAAAGAGAGCGCATCTTGTGTTACAGATAAATTTTTGGCTCAGCTCAGCAGAAGAAGTTGGAAGTGGATTTGATGTTGCTTGTGAAGGCTACATACATAAGGTTAGAGCAATCTTAGAAGAAACCAGAAAGACTAAACAAAATCTTGTTTAAAAAAAGAAAAAGAAAATCAGCTAGTGTGGCTGATGAGCAGGAAACATTGGTTAATGAGGACCAATATGAATAGAATTTCAGTTTACCAGAAAATATCTTACTTGCAAAATGTTCCCAGTCGATAGAGACAAAGACAAACAGTTCTGCCAGTCACAAACATGATCAATGAAAAGGGTTTTAATAACTGGATTTGGACAAAAATCAGTTAGTGTAGACATCGAGCAGGATCATTGGTTAATGAGGACAAATACTTAGGAAAAATACATTTATGTCACCAGAACACATCTTACTTCCAAATTGTTTTCAAATGGTAGAGGCAAAGGAACATTTTCCTGTGGTTCACAAACATGATCAACGAAAAGAGTCTTAATGACTGGATTTGGACGAGGGTCTTTACACTGTTTATGCTGCCAATTCAAGCTGTCAAGTTAAACACACAAGTCAGTCTCCCTCCCAATTAAAAAAAAACAGAAGGTGACTAAATCTTTTACTAAGTGGATTTTGGGTAATCACTACAATTTATTTTAGTATCCATTTTGGGTCCAAATTGTCTGAATTGTGAAGTAATTGGCAATTCTGGTAAGTTGGTGCCACAGGAAAAGCCCTGAAGGATGTCATTGCTGTTGGTATCGGTGGCAGCTTCTTTGGTCCTCTTCAAACAAGTCTCTTTAAATAAATAAATAAATAAATATAAATATAAATAAATAAAAAGGGTTTTGCCGGCCGGCTATACTCTAAATATATTATTTAAGACGTACAGCCGACCGGCTATACCGTTTACATATATTATTTAAGAAGGACCGCCGCACGGCTATACAGTTGACATATATTATTTAAAGAGTATGGCCGCACGGCCATACCTTTTAAATATTTTATTCCGGGAGTATAGCCGCACGGCTATACTATTTATAAAATAAAATAAAAAGGACCCGCCTAGCCCGCCTAGGCGGCCGATTTTTGGAAAACTTGAATCTAAGCTCCATACAAACTGAAAATCAGTATTTTCCATTTTCTGTTTTGGTTTATGTTATGTTTGGTTGCTAGGAAGCTGATGATGAACAAATATTCTCTTACAAACTGACCCAAAAGGAGTATGCTGCTTTCTGGGGCTCCAATTGTTGAGTCATCTCTTCTTTTGAATTTTTTTCTTTTTGATCTATTTTCAGTAATGTAATCTGGGTGAAATGCAGCCTTTGGATCCATAAGATGGGCAAAAAGAGTAAATCAAAAACTCCCAGAAAGATGCAAGATAATACAGCTGCTGTAGAAGAAGAAAAACACTCACCTTCGGCCAAAAAATTGCTGAATCATTGGTTAAGATTCAGTTCAGGTCTACCATATATTTTGGTTTTAATTTATGTTTCAATTACTGGGCATATGAAGCCTCATCTGCTCCTACTTTCTGCAACAGGAACACTTGGAGAGCAATGAGGGTGATCCTGAGTTACTTGTTTACATTCCGTGAGTATCCACTTTTGTTGTTTTATTTGTTACAGGACATGAATTCAAGAATATAATTGCATAATGTGCTTTCCATATACAACCCCTGTTCAATGAAGAACACGACGGCAGTGAATATGAACTACAAGAAATGAAAATCAGCAACTACATACCATTTAAGTATGATTCCATCTGGTACGATTAACAGATACATATGAATCTTTGACCAGAGCTTCCTGAAATAATTGACATTGGTTCAAATTTCAGATCATATCAGTAAGGTTGAAAAAGTAGGCCATCGGGACTGCGTCAAGATTCAAATTTCTCGAAAACAACTTTTCCTGGAACCAACATCCCATAGTCCTAAAATTGGAAAGAACATTTTTTTGGACAAGCATGGATAGTCAATAACCTCTATAACTGTAGCCACAAAAATGTAATCAAAAGTTAATAACATCTATGCAATGTGTAAAATGACGACACACTTCAAACAGAAATTAGAGGGTACCAGTACCCAACAACATCACTTGAAGAACTAAAATAAAATACCTGGGCTCTTTGAAGCATTGAGAGATACTACTTCTCCCAGAGAGAGCGCATCTTGTGTTACAGATAAATTTTTGGCTCAGCAGAAGAAGTTGAAAGTGGATTTGATGTTGCTTGTGAAGGCTAAATACATAAGGTTAGAGCAATCTTAGAAGAAACGAGAAAGACTAAACAAAATCTTGTTTAAAAAAAGAAAAAGAAAATCAGCTATAGTGTGGCTGATGAGCAGGAAACATTGGTTAATGAGGACCAATACGAAAAGAATTTCAGTTTACCAGAACATATCTTACTTGCAAGATGTTCCCAGTCAATAGAGACAAAGACAAAGTCCTGCCATTCACAAGCATCATCAATGAAAAGGGTTTTAATAACTGGATTTTGACAAAAATCGGTAAGTGTAGACACCGAGGAGGATCATTGGTTAATGAGGACAAATACTTAGGAAAAATAAATTTATGTCACCAGAACGTATCTTACTTCCAAATTGTTTTCAATTGGTAGAGGCAAAGGAACATTCCTGTGGTTCACAAACATGATCAACGAAAAGAGTCTTAATGACTGGATTTGGCCGAGGGTCTTTACACTGTTTATGCTGCCAATTCAAGCTGTCAAGTTAAACACACAAGTCAGTCTCCCTCCCAATTAAAAAAAAACAGAAAGTGACTAAATCTTTTGCTAAATATGAGAATAACAAGTACTCTCTCTCTCTCACACAAACGCGCACACACATATGTATGAACATATGCAATCACAAAATAGAAAGGAAGACCAAAACTAGAGAGGAAGCATTACCGTTGGTTAATAAAAATTATGTAATCTATGACTTTTGATGCTAGGATACTTCAGTTTGCCATGGAAAACTGGATTTGCCTCAATTATTTGCCTGAGTTCTTTTATCATAGTCTTCCTCATAGACATTATATCTCGACAGATAGAGAGGGCCTTATGATCCCTGTTGGATTGAACCCATACACATGTGATGCATATCTTTGAACAGCTCCTCATTACCTTCGGCGATAACTTTTAGATCCTTCATGAGGATATCTAACGCCTTGGCGCGAAAATTGCTGTCAAGAATGAACCAAAAACATGCAGAACATGGTATTTTTTTAGAGATTGTTTATGTATAGATTATAAGAAGCTTTTAAAAAAAAATTATGTTCTCACTTGTCAATGGCCTCAAGGAAATTTTGCTTTCTGATATGGAAATAGATCTTCGTCGAGTAGCGATTGTTATTTCTATTTCATATTGACATATTGGAGACATCAAATCAGGTTGAGAGGAAAAATGTGAGGGTCATTTTTTGAAGAATTAAACTTAGTTTACCTAGTCTGCAAAATGGTTCTTTTTCATTGCTCATAAGTTTGACTCCAGGTCTTCAGTTAACTGCATCTAGAATATTGGTTTTGATCATTATTTCATCCCTTTCAATTTGCTTCTCTGTTTTTCCCTCCCAGCAGCACCCCACACAAAAATCTGCAGGGCCAAAATGACGTCGCTAAATAACAGAAGTCACATTAGAGTAGAAGCCATGTCTGCAAGTAATTGTAGTTTCCAATATGCATCCGCACCAGAAGAAACTAGTACATTCAGAGTGTTCGAGAAGGCAAGGCTAGTGACTATTTTGGCGTGACCCTCAAGCTTCCTTGTAACCTGCAAAATATATAAATCAAGGCAATGAAAAACTTTTCAGGTTTGCTTCATCACAACATCGAGCATGATTTGTTTTTTGTACAAGAACAAACAAACTACCTCATCTGAGTGGAGAATGTATATTAATGGTGGAATTGTCCTTGCCAGTAGCAAGTATACTGTCATCTCGGGGGTAAAAAGCAAGACATGTTGCCACAGGTGGTGGTGGCATGACTTTCTTCATCGTCTGCGTTTTTACGCAACAGATTTTTATGTGTACAATGAGTTAGATCATGAGAAATTTGCAAAAAGGACCTAAGCATATTGACAAAGAAGATTTGGGAAGTTCTGGCTGGGAAAAGAAAATTTCAAGAATACCATTTGTGTTGGGTTTACCTTAAATGTTGTCATGTCAAAAATGGAGATCATCCCTCCTGTTGCTGATATGAGATGTGAATCATTCTTGGACAAATCAAAGCAGGACATAGCCTCTTCAAGGTTGGTGCTGGGAAGGTCATTGTTCATCAACTCTAAGCCACTCCTTGGTTTCCATAAAGTAGGGTGAACTTTGGGAGTTTGGGTAATCACTAAAATTATTGATATTATTCAAAGTGGATTTTGGGTAATCACTACAATTTTTTTAGTATCCATTTTTGGGTCCATATTGCCAGAATTGTGAAGTAATTGGCGATTCTGGTAGGTTGGTGCCACATGAATAGCCCTGAAGGATGTCATTGTTGTTGGTATCGGTGGCAGCTTCTTAGGTCCTCTTATAAATAAATAAATAAAAAAGGTATAGGCGCGCGGCTATACTCGTTAACTATATTATCTATGGAGTACGCCGAACGGCTATACCCTTCAAATATATTATTTAAGGAGTACAGCCGCTCGTCCATACTGTTTAAATATATTATTTAAAGAGTATAGCCGTTCGGCTATACGATTTGTTTTTTTATTTTTTATAAAAAGGACCCGCCTAGCCCGCCTAGGCAGCCGATTTTTAGAAAATACCGATTTTTTATTTTTAGATTTCTTTTTTTCTGGCGGTTCTGGCATCTCTGCAAAGACATCAAGTTAGGGTTTTAGCGACTCACGTTTATCAACGACGTTAAGGTTAGCTCTTCCCAACAATTCAAACCCTAGAAGCTGAGAAATTGCAATTGAAAATCAGTATTTTCCATTTTCTGTTTTGGTTTATGTTATGTTTGGTTGATAGGAAGCTGATGATGAACAAATATTCTCTTACCTAAATATTCAGTTTCATGTTTATTTTGTTGTATTGATTAGTTTAGTTACAAACTGAGTTGGTCTGGTTAACTAACCCAAAAGGAGTATGCTGCTTTCCGTTGCTCCAATTGTTGAGTCATCTCTTCTTTTGAATTTTTTATTTTTTGTCAATTCTCAGTAATGTAATCTGGGGTGAAATGTAGCTTTTGGATCCATAAGATGGGCAAAAAGAGTAAATCAAAAACTCCCATAGAGATGCAAGATAATACAGCTGCTGCAGAAGAGGAAAAACATGAAATGGATGGGTACAGAGAGATCAATTTGTTGACTAGTTGTACCTGTTTTTCCATATTTTAATTCAATTTCATTGGTAACATGTTTTGTTAGATCTCCGTAGTCGGATCTGTATGAGTTTGAGTATGGGATTCAACCTTCCTAATTAGCATCTCCAGGTTCACCTAAAACAAACATTAACACTTAATAGTGAGTTTGATGGGATACTGTTGGACTACTCGGACTGAAACCTTGGAAATTGGCAGATGTGGGGTTGGCCCGTTCGTAACTAGTGTCTTGTGGGGGGAAGGGATTGGGTGAATATAGTGTTTTCTAATTAATGTTGTCTATGCCACAATGCAGGCTGCATCCCTCAAAGAAAAGATTAACCGAATGTTTGGTGGAGAGCATGTACGTTTCAAGTTTATCTTCCTTTGGTCGAGTATTATGTGGATAAATATGGAATTAAAATGCTAATTTGAACACTTTTTATCTGCAATTAGCAAGAAGTGTTTCCTATTTGAAAAATATATATATATTTTTTTTTCTGATATGGGGGAAGGGATTAAAATTTGGGACCTCTTCCAACAAAGTGGAGAGAACTAACAGTAGAACAATAGCTAGCTGTTGTCTCCTATTTAAAATTAGGATGCCCAAATTTCTGACCTTTTAACTGTCTGAAATCACAAAAACTTATATTTGATAGCTTTATATAGGATTTATGGTAAAGAGGACACGGGCTTATTTCTGAAACCATGATCATGTGATTCTTTTGCATTATGTTTTTCTTTTTATGGGTGGTGCCTTCAGTTCAGATTAACAGCGCAGAAAATAGATCAGTGCTTCATGTAGCTCTTCATGCTCCAAGGGATGCAGTTATACAGAGTGATGGGGAAAATGTGGTCCCAGATGTTTGGGAAGTTCTGGACAAGATCCAAAAGTTTTCTGAGATTATTCGAAGTGGATTTTGGGTAATCACTACAATTTTTTTTAGTATCCATTTTGGGTCCATGTTGCCTAAATTGTGAAGTAATTGGCAATTCAGGTGGGTTGGTGCCACAGGAAAAGCCCTGAAGGATGTCATTGCTGTCAGTATCAGTGGCAGCTTCTTAGGTCCTCTTCAAACAGATTTAGATGATGCTTTCCATTTTGTCAATCTATAACTCTATTTGGCAGTCTTATTACTATTTAGTGTGAGTTTCCTTGTGAAAACGATTAAGCTTGCTTTGCGATAAACTTTGGGTAGTGTCCACTGGTTTGATTACATTATTTAAGGATATACTTTTTAAATATATTATTTAAGGAGTACAGGCGGCCGGCCATAAGATTTAAATATATTATTTCAAGAGTATTGACAGGACCCGCCCCGGAATTTCCCCTTAAACCGGGGCGGACCCCGTTTTGGTGCCGACATCATACCGATGCCGGGCCCACTTACTAAAAACCCAAGACATCCTACCAAAATTTTGGCAGAGTCTCCCCTGTAAAATGCTCAAGCCCAACAACATTCAACCTGCATAATTTACATAATATAATTCCCAACTGCCAGCATGCTTTCAACATACAACAATTCAAAGTAAAGTGGCCTCCGGCCTCAAGTAACAACCTAACATGGGCGATAACAGAGCATCTAACAGGATTTGTTTACAACAGCAGCAGAGTAGAAGGAATTTACACGAATCCTATCTACGGATGGAATGTTTGGAGCTCGCAACTTGCTTGAGCGCTTCCAAAAGCCACTACTGCCTGGGGGGCGCAAAACGGAAATATGTGAGTGGACAAAAATAACGTTTGCATTTAAAACAACATAGTAACCCCACCGTGTAAAAATAATGCTCAAGCATGCAGTTTCCACATCCATAAATCAAATACTCAAACATAAAATCTCAAAGTCCAATAACTCTCAAAAATCTCAAACCACAACTCCATTCCCACAAGTATGCAACTCTCACCAACCCATACATATGTATACATACATAAGTGTATATATATATATCTATAATATAACGTATACTTCTCTCCATACTAATGTACCGGGGAAGACAATCCAACCGGGGGATTGTTGGCTGGTACGCAGGATTTTCGAACATGAACCCGCGTCCAGGGATGAGTAGTCCAACCGGGGGACGGAACTCCATAGCTCACACGCCGGCACTGCCAACGCCACGTGTAGCTCACAAATCTCATATCAAGTCCTACGCGCGCAGACAGTATCATCACCACACCGGCACTGCCAACGCCATGTGTGATGATACTAAGCAATATACATACTCTTCCCATACACCGGCACTGCCAACGCCATGTATGAGAACAGCAATCTCATGACCTTCCCACCACACCGGCACTGCCAACGCCATGTGTGGGAAGCCTAGTAACCAGGGAATGGTACTCACCTAACATACTCATACATCTCACAACCATCCCTCAAACTCATATCTTTCCACAATCTCATAACAACAACTCCTCATACTCCATACATAGCACAATCTCACAACATCAACTCCTCATACTCTATACATAGGCAATATAGACAGATATCCCAAAATCCATATAAACATATCCATAATACTCAAACATAGCCATACTCAAAATATATTGCCAATACGTATATGAATATCCAAAGTCATCAACCAAATACTTAATAAATCACATTTCCATTTAAAAACATATGCACAAATCTTTTATCAATAAAACCATGCAAATGCTTGAAAACAAAGTCCACTCACAGGTAATCCCACGCTGCCCGGCCCCGAGAGGGTCCTGCCTGCTGCGAACGATCGACCGAAGTACCTATTTCGAGATACGAACTCTTGATTAATATAATACACTTCGAAACGGGAATTCACAAAAGAGAATACTTAAATCCCCAAGATCCCGGTGCGTGTACGTCCAATAGAATATCCTAAGGTCTGGTTACAGGTTTGGGAATCGCTTCCCATCCTACGGTTATCGTTAATCCCACAAACTTAGAATTATTGAATCGGAACATCCGGGGCTCCGATTCACGATCCGCGAATTCCTATAGGTTTCTAAGAGTACCTAAATCAACATACTTCAGTTTGGAAACGATCCAACGGTTAGAACTTATCGAACCCGAATAGCGCACAATATGCGAAATCCATTCGATAGTCAAACGACATCCAAATTGAGATCCGTAAAATCCTATGCACTCGTGACAACCTAAGGATCTCATCAGGATAAAAAGCAACTTCAACAGCCTTGCCCACGCGCCGCCACACGCGCCGGCAGCGCGTGGGTGTGTAGAGGAATTTCCGGCGACGGAAAATCTCCACACCAACGCTCACCCTTCCTACCCTAGCTTCTTCTCAAGGTCAGGATCACTTTATTCAACTACCACGAGGTCCAATTCGCATGGGAACTGGCCGGAATTTCAAATTGAAAACCGGCCAAAACCTAGGTTTCCAATTCGGTTCCAAAACTCAAAATCGATCCAAACCTACCCCAAAAACAGCTAGAGCATACGGAGAGGGTTCGAAAACATACCAAACTCGACGGAAAAGCTGGCCGGAATCGCTGCGCTGTCGTGAAGAAAACCGGGAGAAAAACCAGTCGATATCGTGGCCGGATTTCGAGCTTTCCGGTCGGGATAACAGGTGGGTTTTGATCGGAACTTCACGACGAGTCAAACGGGACTGGTCTCGAGGGCTGAGGTGGACTGTGGCGGCGGCGGCACGGTGGTTTCCGTTCGGCTTGCACAGTGACGGGAATGGGTTTGACGCAGAGGGAGGAGACACGGGAGAGAGAGAGAGAGAAAGTGAGGGGTAAATGTGAAAAATCTGATTTTACCCCAAACTTACTTCGAAATAATTACGGTTCTGTCACCGAACTTATTTTGATCGCCAAAACTTCATTACAACTCCGATTCAAGGCTACCGCCTGTCTACGGTTTCGTCTCAGTACCACCTACGCAACCAAACCATTCGTGGTCCCGAAATCCTTCCGGATAAGAAAATGACCAAAATTACCCTTAACCCAAAAGTAAATTAATAATTCTCTTAATTTAATTAAATTAGGAATAAATTTGGAGTCGGGGTGTTACAAGTATAGCCAAACGGCTATACTATTTATATATTAAAAAAAGGACCCGCCTAGACCGCCTAGGCAGCCAATTTTATTTATTTATTTATTTTTGGGAATTCTTTTTTCCTGGTGGGTCTGGCATACCTGCAAATACATCAAGCCAGGGTTTTAGCGACTATATTGAAGACATCAAATCAGGTTGAGAGGAAAAATGTGAGGGAGTAGAAATTTTTTGAAGAATTAAACTTAGTTTACCTAGACTGCAAAATGTTTTTTTTTCCATTCCTCATAACTTCGACTCCAATTCTTCAATGAACTGAATCTAGAATATTGGTTTTGATCATTATTTCATCCCTTTCAATCATATTTCAATGCATTCAGATGCTGAAGAACTGTTCAACACGCATAAAGATCAATTTTCTCCGATATGAGCAGTCGAGTCAGTGCAAAACTATGAGGGACAGCAGGCTAAGTTATGCATCTGCAGCGACAAAGGTAGATGCTTGAAGATGTATTCTCCTTTGAGACATTAAGTAATTTAATTTTCATCAAATTGACTGTAATGTTTAACTAAAGTAAATATGCATTTCGTGAACCCTCATAGGGTTCCTCCTGCTTGTAGATTGCCACTAATAATGGATACCCTCCGATTTCTTATATTTAGTTGCACATCAGATCATGTATTGGTTATCTTTAATTTTTCTTAGAGATTCAATCCCACTTGAGCCCAAACTTATAACTAGTGATCCCGATCAATCGTCCCGACCCTTTTCTTCTTCGTCAAAGAGAGATTGGTGAGTTCTTGCTCAAGTGACAAGATTGAAATGTGATCAAGATCATCTGGACTCAATCCCAACCCATCAGAATTGTGTAATAATCCTATCAATATACATACAAAAAAGTGGCTCTTGGTGAGTGGTGGTAAAGCGAAATAAAAGTTGCACTCCATTCTTGACAGAGTTTAGGGCATGGAGCTTAGATTTTAAGTGCATTCCATTCTTGACAGAGTTGATATGTTAGGTATTGAGCTTAGATTTTAAGTTTTAATTCTAAAGTTTCCGGCCATGTTCCAAAACCCGAGAGTGAACCTAGGGCTTAGGCAAGGATTAAATATCGGCCGTGCAGATAATATCGGGCCTCCAATTTACGGATATTTTGAGGGATATATCGTTATCGTTTTGGGTATCGGGAAAAAAATCAACAAAAATGACAGATATAAGCATTGAAACACATAATTTTGGTGTAAAACTTTCATAGATGTTATGTACATTGTCAATGAATGTATTGAACAAATAAAACTCAAAATTTATTAATAATAAGATATATATATATATATATATATATGATGAAATATAAGTGGTATGTAATACGCGTTAATGAAAAGTTTGAAAATAAAAAGTTGATTAGAATGAATAAACCATGCATAAATCCATAGTTTATTTGAACATTGGATTACAATTTAGATGAGTGTCCAACTACATAAATGAAGAGCTCCTATGAGGTTCAAACAATGTGGAACAACCATCTAGATTCATACAATAATCATACCAAGTCATGTAACCCGAGTAGTTTGTAAGCCATGTTTGAACATGGTGCACATATGATTCTCTTGAGCTCCCTACTGTCCTCCCATATATGGGATAGTTAGGATTAACTCAACTAGTAGGTCCATAATCTGTTTCATCATCTTGAGCTCCATATCTAGTTCCACTATAATCAGACATGACATAACCATAGCCATCATAAGATTCATTTGAGTTAGTACTAGGTCTAGATTCTTTTGATGCATACTCTAAAACATGCATACTCCAAAACATCTTTTGAATTGAATATTGCCAAAAGCCTTCACACATATATCTAATCACTGCACATATACCTCCAAAAAATCTTTTCAATTTCAATTTGCTTCAAAACTTTTGAATTTTTTTGGGTTTTGTTATGGGTATCGGGAAATATCGGAAATATCGGCAAAATATCGGAGATATCGCACTTATCGGGGATATATCGTCGATATCGGGGAAGATATGGCCTTACCCCCCAATATCGGTGTCGACAGTTCAAAATATCGATATATCGGCCGATATATCGGTGTATCGGCCGATATTTCAATCATTGGGCTTAGGTGAGAAACGGGTGTCGATCGAAATTTACACTAGTCGCGATTGGTCAATGACACTGATTGGCAGCCAGGCACATCGGTTCCATAAGAAAGAATGAACCTTGCGCAGGAAAGAATAGTTAAAACTTACAAGAAATCATGACTGCAAATTTTCCAATAAAGTCCTGAATTTATTTTAGATTCATATAATTTACTGCCCCTAATGCCTAAACACCATTGCCTACATTATCTAGAGATGAGATCTTATTATGTTTAGGCCTCTACTATAGAGATCACACACCAAGGGCTTTTTTCAAGCTGGGACAATGCCCTCGGATTCCACCGGCTGGCAGCTCTCCAACTTGTTGTCAACCAACGGGCAACATACCCCATTTATCTTCATCTTCCAAAGGCTCAAGGACATGGAGCTCACCATTAGAGCGTGCCACTGCAAACTAGGTTGGTTTTCGTGGATTTTCGGCCATAACAAGTGGATACATCGTATACGAGGGTATCTTACCCGAAATTGATGTGATTTCGAAAATCATTAGATTGATAAATCTTTACTTTGCCCCTCTTAGGTCCCACTATAAGTGTATTGCAAGTACTGTTCTGCTTGGGAAAGACAATTAATAGAGAGAGGTTATGCTGGAAGCAAAACAAAAGCTTTCTAATTTTAGAGTTTGCAAAGAAGGGTGCCCTAGCAATTTTGAAATTTTGTGGCCTACTTCCATTAGTTTATACTTTGTGGTTATTAATTTGCTAGTTTCAACATATCCAAAGCAGATATTGAAGAGAGAAATTTCATAGTAAATCAATTTGAGATTTCAAATTTTTTTTTTCCGTGGGACTGTTTGCCTTTAATCCACCGCGTTATCTCGATCGAGTGCTACTAAATTATGTTACTGCACACATTATTTGTCGTAGAGAATTGCATGATGAGTTGGAGTGGTATTGGTAATGGCTTCACTTTTCAAACAACACTTTACATGCAGAATTACAAGTCCACCTCTTACTACTATACCCATAAATCTTTATTTGAAATTTTTGTTCTAGTTGGCAAAGAGATGGCAAAATCACCATCTTGCATTTTTACAAAAAGTAAGAAATAATCTTACCCTCTCACATTCTTTCATTGTTAGTAAAATACGGAACGGGAAAAATACGAATAAAATACGTACGCGTTTTATTATGCAAAATTTTGGCAAGTTACAACTTAAAAGTTTGGCCAATATATAATATTTTTATATAATTTATTTAAATATTTTTAATATATATTATTATTTTTTAAATGTGTATTTCACCGAGTCTTTAAGACATGTATGAAAAATGAAAGTATTATTGAAAAATACATACTTATGTGTATAATACAAGTATTAACCTGGAAAATGCTGAATTCTTTATACGGGTAACAAGTAAAAAATCAAAATGAGACAATAGAGAGTCGGATAATGGCCTAATAGTAATGGATAATTTTGTAAACTACGATAAAGGAAAATCTGGGAAAAAATTAATTTTAAAAAAAAATGAGTATAGAAGGAGTACAGCTGCGTGGCAATCCTTTTTAAATATATTATTTATAGCGTATAGCCATACTATTATATATATGTATATGTATATAAAGGACCCGCCTAGCCCGCCTATGCGGCCGATTTTTCGAAAACTTGAATGGCGTTTTTTTTTCATAACTTCGACTCCAGTTCTTCAATTAACTGCATCTAGAATATTGGTTTTGATCATTATTTCATCCATTTCAATCATATTTCTGGTGACTTTGGATGTAAGTGTGGGAACCAATTAAATCAAAACCCTAGGTCAAATAATTCCTTCCATTTGGGGATTATTTGACCTAATTGGGAATTACTCAACCTAATTGGGAGTTACTCAATTTAATTGGGAGTTACCCAATTAAATTGAGAATTACCTAATTAAGTTGGGAATTGATTTGATTCCTACCCCAATTCCCAATTAAATGAGGAGTTACCTAATTAAATTGGGATTTGATCTGATACCTACCACGATTAGGGATTTGATTTACCCAAATAAATCAAATCCCTAATTAATCAAATCAATGCCAAATCAGGGAGGAATAATTCCTTACCAACTACGGAATTATTCCTCTGAAACCCTAATCTCCGAGACCATTATAAATACTTGGCTACGCACAAAGGTCAAGGTACGTCTAAATTCCTACTGAAACTCTGCAGAAATTATTTCTCACAAACCCTAGCCACCACTTTCTTTCTCTCTCTGACACAAGGCTCCGGCCACCACACACGGCTCCGGCCACCCGGTTTTCCTTGAAATACCCTACCTAACTTAGGCATCGGAGGGCCTTTGGCCAACACCCCCCGGGTGTGGTCCTTTTACCCCGATCTGTTTTGCAGGGAGAAAGAGAAGTGGAGAAGACGAAGGAATCTTAGACGAATATTCTCGTGAGGAAATTTGTACAAACAAATTGGTGCTTTCATTGAGAGCACGAGATATATTCAAAGCGTGCTCAAAATCCATCTTTCACACAGTTTTTTCAAACAACCATGGTTGATACAAGACGTACGAAGAGTAACGCCACCACGACGGGCCCATCTCATGGTTTCGTGGTGGAAACCTCAATACAACAGCACGGAATCATGCCTGCCAACGCCCTGCAGCCGTCTTCTAGTGCTTTGCAGCCGCCTTCAGCTGCTGGAATTGCAGAACAGCCGCCACATGACCCTGGGACCTCCACAGCCTTGCAGTCGCCAGCGCCGATTACCGGAGCTGCTCTGCCTCGCTGTCCTGCCGTCGGAGCACAGCAACAGCCACACCACTTAACTACTGGACTTGCTGCACAGCCCCATGGCTACTCTGACATCGTCCCAGTCTTGGAGCAGATCCATTCTCTCCCTCCTCTGCGATCACACTTGACATATGCACCTGTGTACGCGTCCAATGGAGCCCTAGCCCACATGCCGTTGGGCCAATGCACACCACCCTACTTGACCCGGGCAGTCAGGTGGACCTTAACTCGCGGGTTGATCAACTCACACAGAAGGTCGATGATCAAAACAACCTGATTGGCCAGCTACTCAGGCAGATCAACTTGAATCAAGGCCCCAACCTTGGACCCCGTGACGAGGAGAGGAGGGCACACGAGCATGCTGGCGAGCAGTTCGAGAGGTCCCAGGCTAGTCAGACAAGGGCAAACCGGCAGGGAAGAGAGCGAGATCGTGCAGACGAGACGCAGACAGCTGCGAGCCGTACTCTGAGCCGTTCGAGGCTAGGACCCAGGACCAATGTGCTCGAGAGGCTAGGCCCACAATCCAATGTTCGTGCTCGCTTAGGTCCACAAGGAGCTCGAGTTCGTGAGCGGTCGCGGCGACAAGCTGTGGAGGGATCCTCCCAAACTCAACCTTCTCTCCTGCCCCATCGGCAGGGCAACCAAGGGGATCGACCCTTGGGAGCCGGAGAAGAAGTTAGCCGATCACGTTCGAGGCACCGAAGACGTCGACCTGAACGACCTTCCTTGCAAGCAGAGGATGACGATCAACGCTCACCAGCCCGCTCGAGGTCCAACATGCGGCGACAAGCTGTGGAGGGATCCTCCCAAACTCAACCTTCTCTCCTGCCCCACCGGCAGGGCAACCAAGGGGATCGACCCTTGGGAGTTGGAGAAGAAGTTAGCCAGTCACGCTCGAGACTCCGAAGGCGCCGACCTGAACGACCTTCCTTGCGAGCAGAGGGTGACGATCGACGCCCACCAGCCCGCTCGAGGACCAACACGCGGCGACAAGCTGCAGAGGAATCCTCACAAGCTCAATCTCCTAATCTGCCTCACGGGCAGAGCACCCAAGGGGATCGACCCTTGGGAACCGAGGAAGAAGCTAGCCAGTCGCGCTCGAGGCACCGAAGACGTCGGCCCGAGACTCCAACCCTGCGAGCAGAGGATGTCGCAAAGCTGGTAAATGACCAACTCCGAGGTCTCCGACTCAAAGGAAGCGCGGAGGAGGCCCTGTGCAAGGAAATTGATCGAGTTGACCGCTCGCCCTTTACCGACGAGGTGGAACGAGCCCCGCCGCCGAAGCGGTTTACAACGCCATCCATCACTCCATTCAAGGGGGACTCTGACCCTGAGAGCCATTTGAGGCACTTCAAGAGCGCCATGATCCTGTACAAGGCAGACGACGCCCTGATGTGCAAAGTGTTCGCGATGACCCTGCGAGGAGCAGCTCAGGATTGGTTCCACACTCTACCGTCCGCGTCAATAGGCAACTTCATGGAGTTCGCCATCATTTTCACAAAGGAGTACACCTCCTACAAGACGGTCAGAAAGCATGCAGACCACCTGTTCAACCTGCGCAAGAAGCCAGACGAGTCTCTACGAGACTACCTGAGACGGTTTAAGGCTGAGAAGGCTAACATCATAGGATGCAACGACCAAGTTGCATCCTCAGCATTCAAAAAGGGCTTGCCAACCGAGCACGAGCTATACCGGGAGCTGGCCATAACTCCAAGTCAAACCTTGGCAGAAGTGTTCGCGACGGCAGAGCGCTACGCACTTTGGGACGATGATCGTATCGCCGCAAAGAAAGCTAGCAAGCAAGTTGACCACCCGACGAAGCAGGCAAGCCAAAAGAGCAACAAGTTCGAGCAAAAAGCCCGAGATAAGCGCAGATCGCGGCCCCAAGAGGGAAGCTTAGAAACAGGGACCTTCACCGAGTTCGCTATCCCAATCCACCAGATCCTAGCTCAGGTGAAAGATAAGCCGTGGGTGAGGAGACCACCACCCATGAAGGGAGACCCCTATAAAAGAGACACCAGCAAATACTGCGCATTCCACGGGGAGCACGGTCATTACACCAACAACTGCAACGCTTGGAAAAGGCACCTTGAGGAGCTGGTCAGAGAGGGCCATTGCACAGAGTTCGTTGCAAAGAAGGCTATCCAGCAGATCGAGGATCGTGATGTAGCTGCCAAGGAACCTCCCCAAAAGGTCATTCGAATCAACACCATTCTAGCCGACTCCCAAGAGTCCGGGCTGACCACCAAGGAGCGCAAGAGAAAGATCGCGCAGGCAACTTATGTCTCCCAAGTCACAACGGGAGTACCAGCTGTTGGGGATACACCTATCATCGGCTTCCAGAAGAAGGACTTGATCGGGCTGGACCTGCCACATAATGACGCCCTAGTCATCTGCATCCAAATTGAACAAGCTGTGATCGAGCGAGTTCATGTAGATGAGGGCAGCGCAGCCAACATCCTGCAACTATCTGTTATCCAACAGATGGGGTTCGAGCCCAAGATTAGCAAACTTGCCAGATCGCTCACCGGCTTCAATGGGGCCACATCAATCACTGTTGGAACGATCGACTTGGATGTCCACTCACCCCCAGTGGTCTGCTCGCAGACCTTCATGGTCATCGACGAGGTTTCCCCCTACAACGGAATCTTGGGCCGACCGTGGATCAGCAAGATCGAGGCCATCACATCTGCTCTACATCAGAAGATCCGCTATCCCATCCCTGGGGGCGGATCGGGCAGATCAACAGTGACCAAGCCATGGCAAGGAGATGCACCGCCCAAGGGCTCAAGAAGAGCAAGCAGCTGCAGTTCACACCAGTAATGCAAGCTGCCAACGAGGCAGGAAGCGCTCTTAGCAGACAAGCAAACCCGAAAGGGAAGGAAGTTGCTGCCTCACAATAGCAGTTAAGGAACCAGGATCGAGAGGAGGGAATCCGCCCGGAAGACTCCCCTGAAAAGGGTTGGAAGCCTGAGGATGACGTTGAGTTAGTACCCCCTGATCCTGGCCAGCCAGACAAAGAGGCGCAGATCGGCTCGTGCCAGAATCCGAACAAGAAGGATCGAGACGAGGGAATCGCCCGGAAGGCTCCCTTGAAGAAGGTTGGAAGCCTGAGGAAGACGTTGAGTTAGTACCCCCCGATCCTGATCAGCCAGAGAAGGAGGCGCAGATCGGCTCGCGCCAGAATTCAACCAAGAAGGATCGAGATGAGGGAATCCGCCCGGAAGGCTCCCTTGAAGAAGGTTGGAAGCCTGAGGAAGACGTTGAGTTAGTACCCCTCGATCCTCACCAGCCAGACAAGAAAGCGCGGATCGGCTCGCGCCTAAGCCCAGACGAGAAGATGGAGCTGACCATCTTCCTCCAGAACAACAAAGACATGTTCGCGTGGTCACCATCTGACATGCCTGGCATTGACCCAAATATCATCTGCCATCGGCTCCATGTCAACCCTGCTAGCAAGCCCGTGGTGCAGAAGAGACGCAACTTTGCTCCCGAGCGGGTCGCGATCATTGAAGCCGAGATCGACAAGCTCCTAGCTGCCGGTTTCATTGAAGAGGTCTCCTACTCGGAATGGCTGGCTAACGTTGTTCTGGTGGCGAAACAAGAAAAGGGAAAATGGAGAGTATGCGTTGATTACACCGACCTCAACAAAGCATGCCCTAAAGACAACTTCCCATTGCCGAGAATCGACCAGCTCGTGGATTCAACTTCCGGCAACCAGCTGCTCAGCTTCATGGATGCTTACTCCGGCTATAATCAAATTATGATGTACGATGATGACAAGGCGAAGACCTCTTTCATCATCGAAAGAGGGACCTACTGCTACAAGGTCATGCCCTTTGGGCTGAAGAACGCTGGAGCAACCTACCAAAGGCTCGTGAATAAAATTTTCAAGGAGCAGATCGGCAGAACCATGGAGGTGTACGTGGACGATATGCTGGTTAAAGCCCCCAAGCGGGCAGACCACCTCAAAAACCTCACCGAGGCGTTCAGCCTACTCCGCCAATATCGCATGAAGCTGAATCCAAGTAAATGCACGTTCGGTGTATCGTCTGGCCGGTTCCTAGGGTACTTGGTGACGCAACGAGGTATCGAGGCACACCCGCGCCAAATCAAAGCCATTCTCGAGATGAAGTCGCCTTCCACAGTGAAGGAGATACAAAGCCTGACGGGCAGAGCAGCGGCCCTTAACAGATTCCTCTCAAAGTCTACCGACAAGTGCAGACCATTCTTCAAAGCTTTGAAGAAAGGACAAAAAGACAAATGGGACGAAGAGTGCGAAGTAGCTTTCCAGAATCTAAAGACCTACCTTACTTCACCTCCCTTGCTCTCAAAGCCAGTTCCTGGTGAAGACTTGTTCGTGTACCTGGCAGTGTCCAACTCGGCCGTCAGCTCAGCTCTCATTCGAGAAGAACTTGGGGCCCAACATCCGATATTCTACACGTCAAAAGCTCTCCTCGATGCAGAGACTCGTTACCCGAAATTGGAGAAGCTCATTTTGGCCCTTGTGGTTTCTGCGAGAAAGCTGCGACCTTATTACCAAGCTCACCGAGTCATCGTCATGACCGACTTTCCTTTGAGATCAATCCTCCACAGCCCTGATGCTTCTCAGCGACTCATGAAGTGGGCTATAGAGCTAAGCCAATACGACCTCCTCTACCGGCCGAAGACTGCAATAAAAGCTCAAGCCTTAGCAGACTTTGTTGCAGAATTCACACCATCAGCCGAAGAAGAGAAGCTGGTCAGCAAAAAGAAGGAAAGTTCGAGAGCAGACAAGACCTCTACTGAACCTGACCAACCCAGAGACATGTGGCAGTTGCGCGTAGACGGAGCGTCGAACCAGAAAGGAGCTGGAGCAGGCGTCGTCATCATCACCCCAGATGGAACCCTGTTAGAGCAAGCTATCACGCTTGGCTTCCCGGCTTCAAACAACGAGGCAGAGTACGAGGCGTTGCTCGCTGGCTTGCGCTTGGCAAAGGAGCTATCAATCAAAAAGCTGGCCATCTACTCAGATTCCCAGCTGATCACAAGTCAAGCCTCAGGAGAATACATGGCGAAGCACCCAAGGATGATCTTGTACCTTGACAAAGTTCAAGAGTTGTTGAAGGCGTTTCCCACCTTCACCATCCAGCAAGTTCCCAGAGCAGAGAACGCGCACGCAGATGCACTAGCAAGCTTAGGATCGGCGCTGGATACCCAGTTCAGACGTTCCATCCCGGTCGAGCACCTTGACCAGCCTAGCATAGAGGAGGCAGAGCAGCCGGACCTGATGCAGATCGATGAGGATCCTAGCTGGCAAGACCCAATTATTGACTACCTAGTGAATGAAAACCTGCCCAAGGACAAGTCCGAGGCCAGAAAAATCAAGCAGAAGGCTGCAAGATACTACATGAAAGGCGACATGCTTATCCGCAGATCATACTACGGGCCTCATCTCACTTGCATCAAGTACCCACAAACGCTCGAGGTTCTCTGCAAGATACACGACGGCGAATGTGGAAATCACGCTGGGGGCAGATCGCTTGCTCAGAAGGCTCTCAGCATAGGCTATTTCTGGCCTACCATGCGCCAAGACTCCACGGAGTATGCTCGAAGATGTGATCGATGCCAACGCTACAAGCCGGTCCCTGGCCTGCCCGCTGAGGAATACCATCCGCAGAACAGTCCATGGCCATTCATGCAGTGGGCCATTGACTTGGTGGGACCTATGCCGACGGCACCTGCCAACAAAGAGATGATGATCGTTGCCACTGATTACTTCACCAAATGGATCGAGGCCGAGGCTTTATCTTCTACCAAGGAGGCCGATGTTGAACGGTTCATCTGGAAGAACATTATTTGCAGATTCGGTTGCCCGCAATCGATAGTCACCGACAATGGTACACAGTTCGTGGGCAGGCAGATCACCGCATTCTTTGCGAAGTATGGCATCAAACAACACCTGTCAACACCCCGATACCCGCAAGGCAATGGCCAAGCAGAGGCATCCAACAAGATAGTGCTGGACTGCCTAAAGAAAAGACTGGAAGGCGCAGAAGGAAAATGGGTCGACGAGCTGCCAGGAGTCCTATGGGCTTATCGCACGACCAAAAGGAGATCGACCGGAGAGACACCATTTTCCCTGGCCTATGGGACAGAAGCAATTATTCCCCCACACATCACAGTCCCTTCCATGAGCATTGAGGTGGGCAGCCTTGACCAAAACTGCAAGCAGATGAAAGTCAACCTTGATCTGCTTGAAGAAGAACGAGAAAAGGCTATTGTTCGAGTTGCCGCCTACCAGCAGCAGTTGACGTCCTACTACAATAAGAAGGCTAAGATAAGACAGTTTCAGCCTGGAGACCTTGTGCTTAGAAAAACTTTCATCACAGCACCAAGGCAAGGGTCAAAGAAAATGAAGCCAAACTGGGAAGGCCCCTACGTGATCAGCCGATCTGGGGGCAGAGGAAGTTACACCCTTGATACTCTAGAAGGAAAAGAAATTCCAAGACAATGGAATGCCCACCACCTTCGAAGATACTATCCATGAAACTCTTCGCTTACCAACTTGGCTGCTAGCAGGCGACGAGCCTCCTGTACTTCCATTAAAGACAAACTACTTTTGATGTTACCTTTGTTGTTAATTTCCTTTATTCAATAAAGCGATGTATTCACACCAACATCAATACAAGAGCAAGCTTTTCAATGAAGTACTTTTCTGAGCATTATGTCTTACGAACATACACATGGCGGCAGCAAGCCCCATCTCCATTGCAGACAGGCTGCTTCACGAAGCACAAACTCAATGGAGTCTTTTTCGAGCATTTTGTCCCTGACATACGCTCGCAGGCGACAAGCCTCATCTCCATTGCAGACAAGCTGCTTCACGAAGCACAAACTCAATGGAGTCTTTTTCGAGCATTGTGTCCCTGACATACGCTCGCAGGCGACAAGCCTAATCTCCATTGCAGACAGGCTGCTTCACGAAGCACAAACTCAATGGAGTCTTTTTCGAGCATTGTGTCCCTGACATACGCTCGCAGGCGACAAGCCTAATCTCCATTGCAGACAGGCTGCTTCACGAAGCACAAACTCAATGGAGTCTTTTTCGAGCATTGTGTCCCTGACATACGCTCGCAGGCGACAAGCCTAATCTCCATTGCAGACAGGCTGCTTCACGAAGCACAAACTCAATGGAGTCTTTTTCGAGCATTTTGTCCCTGACATACGCTCGCAGGCGACAAGCCTAATCTCCATTGCAGACAGGCTGCTTCACGAAGCACAAACTCAATGGAGTCTTTTTCGAGCATTGTGTCCCTGACATACGCTCGCAGGCGACAAGCCTCATCTCCATTGCAGACAGGCTGCTTCACGAAGCACAAACTCAATGGAGTCTTTTTCGAGCATTGTGTCCCTGACATACGCTCGCAGGCGACAAGCCTAATCTCCATTGCAGACAGGCTGCTTCACGAAGCACAAACTCAATGGAGTCTTTTTTCGAGCATTGTGTCCCTGACATACGCTCGCAGGCGACAAGCCTAATCTCCATTGCAGACAGGCTGCTTCACGAAGCACAAACTCAATGGAGTCTTTTTCGAGCATTGTGTCCCTGACATACGCTCGTAGGCGACAAGCCTCATCTCCATTGCAGACAGGCTGCTTCACGAAGCACAAACTCAATGGAGTCTTTTTCGAGCATTTGTGTCCCTGACATACGCTCGCAGGCGACAAGCCTAATCTCCATTGCAGACAAGCTGCTTCGCGAAGCACAAACTCAATGGAATCTTTTTATTTCGAGCATTGTGTCCCCTGACATACGCTCGTAGGCGACAAGCCTTACCTCCATTGTGGGCAAGCTACTTCACGAGTACAAACTCAATGGGAATCTCTTTCAAGTGCTATGTCTCCGGACGTACACTTACAAGATATAATGAGAATTGAAGTTTGAAAGATAACTGAAAATTTCATAGCAAAGCGGCCAACCAGCCAAATTCAACAAACAAAAGGGCGGTCAACCAAAGACCACTTATTGAAAGAAAATTACAAAGTTCAAAAATAGCAAAAATGAACTACATCTACTAGGGGACTTCAGCAGGTGACCCTTAGCCGATCACATCCTCAGCTGCGCTGGCAACGGCCTCACTCTGCTTAACCATCACCACCTACTCAACTGCCTTGGCCGCTTGTTCCTTACCCTCCTCAGCTGACCCGCCTTGGGGCTTGTCTTCCTCCGTTGCGGCTTCATCTGCTACCTGCTCTTCAACTGCCTCTGCATCCACAACATTGATCTGCTTACTGTGAGCAGGGGCAGATCAAGACTGGACTGCTCATCATCGTCATCTTCGAGAGGACAGCAAGGAGGAGCGCCGTTCTGGCAGTCCAGGTATCCCAGCTTGTACGCATTAGCAGCAATCTCATGTTTGGACACCTCCGTGGCTTCCACATGGGTGTCAAACTTGACCAGCAGCCTATCACGATCTTGGGCCAGAGCAGCATGCTTGCGTTCGAGGCTAAAGTAGGCTTCCTTGCGTTCGAGCAGGGTAGCCATAAGAGACTTGACTTCGTCATCTTTTTGGCCAACAGAACTCTTAAGTGCGGACATACTCTCCTTCATCTCGGAAATCCTCGCGTCATGGCGAATCCGCTCGTTCGAGAGCTTGTCAGTCAGGTCAGCATTCTTCTTCACCAGCTCGTCAAGCAGGGCAGAAGAGGGGGCAACATCATGCGAGTTCTGCATAGCCCCAACAGCAAAAACCATCCCTTTTTTAAGATGATACAGGGCAGCTTCTTCTTGTTTATCCAAGGGAAGGCTCGAGAAGGCACAAAGATCAGCAGCTCGATACACATGGTCAGCTAGCTTAGCACAAGCAGATGGACTTGATAGAAAGCCCGTTTTCAGCAGATCAGACACAGGCTCACCCCCAACAGAGTTATCACCAATCCCCAAACCAGCAGTTCGCGCGACTGGAGGACTCTTTGCTCGAGCAAACGACTCTTTAGCTTTCTTGCTTGCAGCTTGCAACATCGAGTCAGCTCCGCGCTTGATTGTTCGTGGTCCTGCAGACGAGTTATGGTGGCTGGGCAGAGGTACAGTCCTCTCAGTTTGGTCCCCAGACCGGCGCAGACGCCCCGAACCTTGCTTCTCAACGGCCTCCTTACAAGGCAGATCACAAGTTTTGGGCAATACGGTTGGCGACTTGAACAACATATCCCGAACTTCCTGCATGCCGTTGGCCTTCCTGCTGTTCGCGCTGACGAGGCGTTTGATCCCGGCAGACGAGGCCTCCTGTGAGGAAGACTTGTTCGCGGCAAGAGAAGATCTCGGCTGCCCCCGCTGCAGAGACGTATCCATTGATCGAGAAACTGCAGCTCTGTCACGGGCGGGTCCACTGCACGCCTTTCTATCCTGGGGGACTTGGTCGATGACTCATCCTGCTCAACTCGCAAGTCACTTAGCTTCAGGCAGTGCAACTTCCATCTTTCAATATCTTCAGCAGGGGGCAGGCCACCAACTTTCTTCCGATGTTCGCTCAACACCAGCGCCATTCACAAAACTTGGCAGGGATGCTCAAAGCTTGCCGAACCTTCATCATGTCCGGGTTGAGGACGAGCTTCTTTCGGATGGCATCATCTGCAAGCAGAAAACAAAAGTTGGTCAGACACACGACATGAAAAATTCCATGGCAACTGTAGCATATCATAGGGATGCAACTTACCATCACAGTAGGTGAGAGGAATGAGCGGACCGTCGCCAACCTCCCCTACCCGTCTGCCGCTGACTTCCAACATGTCTGTGCTCCACACGTGATCGCCTTGACTCATACTGTTCCTAGTTCGTGACACAAAAAGAAGAAGGAATTGAAGCAGTTTGGATCAACCACAAATAAGCCGACCCAAATTGCCACCTGCTCCAGCAGCAGGCCAGCTTGCCTCCAGCCCAGTTATAGCTGGACAACCCAAGTCAAAGACCAGTTGGCAAGTCAAAAGCCTCCTCCATTCAGGAGCCCAAATCCAAGGAGGAAGCCCAGTTACAGCTGGAAAGCCCAACAGACAATTCACATCTCCTACATGCCACCACGCGCCATGCAGAAGCTGGGGGGCATTTGTGGGAACCAATTAAATCAAACCCTAGGTCAAATAATTCCTTCCATTTGGGGATTATTTGACCTAATTGGGAATTACTCAACCTAATTGGGAGTTACTCAATTTAATTGGGAGTTACCCAATTAAATTGAGAATTACCTAATTAAGTTGGGAATTGATTTGATTCCTACCCCAATTCCCAATTAAATGAGGAGTTACCTAATTAGATTGGGATTTGATCTGATACCTACCACGATTAGGGATTTGATTTACCCAAATAAATCAAATCCCTAATTAATCAAATCAATGCCAAATCAGGGAGGAATAATTCCTTACCAACTACGGAATTATTCCTCTGAAACCCTAATCTCCGAGACCATTATAAATACTTGGCTACGCACAAAGGTCAAGGGTACGTCTAAATTCCTACTGAAACTCTGCAGAAATTATTTCTCACAAACCCTAGCCACCACTTTCTTTCTCTCTCTGACACAAGGCTCCGGCCACCACACACGGCTCCGGCCACCCGGTTTTCCTTGAAATACCCTACCTAACTTAGGCATCGGAGGGCCTTTGGCCAACACCCCCCGGGTGTGGTCCTTTTACCCCGATCTGTTTTGCAGGGAGAAAGATTTTTTTTTTTTTTTTTTTTTTTTTTTTTTTTTTTTTTTTTTTTTTTTTTTTTTTTTTTTTTTTTTTTTTTTTTTTTTTTTTTTTTTTTTTTTTTTTTTTTTTTTTTTTTTTTTTTTTTTTTTTTTTTTTTTTTTTTTTTTTTTTTTTTTTTTTTTTTTTTTTTTTTTTTTTTTTTTTTTTTTTTTTTTTTTTTTTTTTTTTTTTTTTTTTTTTTTTTTTTTTTTTTTTTTTTTTTTTTTTTTTTTTTTTTTTTTTTTTTTTTTTTTTTTTTTTTTTTTTTTTTTTTTTTTTTTTTTTTTTTTTTTTTTTTTTTTTTTTTTTTTTTTTTTTTTTTTTTTTTTTTTTTTTTTTTTTTTTTTTTTTTTTTTTTTTTTTTTTTTTTTTTTTTTTTCCGCATAAGCAGAAATAAAATCACCCCCTGACCAGCTTCCTCAAATCGCTGTGGCTGACAGCAATTATTCATATAATCAGATTATTTTTTCATTTACCAAACAGGTAGGTGGAAGAAAACTTTAATAAGAAAGTGATTTTTGCTCCAAATAAGCAATGCCAAACAGGCACTCACTCTCAATCTTGCCAAAAGGTATATTCTCTCCAAATTTTAAATTTTTTTCATTAATATATGTTTTTGGAGTTAGTTTTGAGTTTGTGTGGGGTTTGGGGTTGAGTAAGGGAAGGGATTGGAGTTTCGGTTGGATTTGTGGTATAACAATTTTAGGGGAGATTATCCCTTCTTTTTTTCTTTTTTTGTTATTTGACCCTTTTTTTTTGTAGGGAATCATTGAGACTTTGACGGCTAAAGTTGAGGATTAGGAAGCTATCAAACATATCCTCCTCCACTACCACTACAATACGCTTGTATTAGGATTTTATTATTGTCCTTTGTTAATTTATGTGTACATTTTGAATATTACATATATATTTATTGGATAATTTGATCACTATTTTTCATATGTAATTTTATTTTGAATATGTCAATTTAAATTAAAGTAATTAAAAAAAATCATACAATTAAATTAAATTTAAAAATTAAAAATTTGAAAAAATTAATATAATTAAATTAATATCAATTTAAATTAAAGTAACAAAAAAAAATCATACAATTAAATTAAATTTAAAAAGTAAAAATTTGAATAAATTAATATTAAAGAAATAATAAAACAAAAAGTCAAAAATCAAAATATTTCATCGCGCAAATATTTGCGTGACATTAGTATTCGTCGCGCAAAACTCTAAAAATTTGGGTGGGTACCAAAAATGGGATGTGAGAATTTATTTTATTTTAAAATTTTTAAAGACTTTGCGCGACCAAAGTTTTTCGTCGTGCAAAACTTTGCGCGACCAATGTTTTTCGTCGCGCAAAACGCAAGGTCTTGCGCGACCAATATTTTTTCGTCGCACAAAGTCACTTTGCACGACCAATGAAAAAACTTCGTCGCGCAAAGTCTTTCTTCACGATATTTGCGCGACGAATTCTTCGCAACGAAGTTTCTGTCGCGCTGAAATTTATGCGACTACAATGTATTTTGCGCGACGAAATTCTCTTCGTCGCGCAAAGTGTAAAATGTAGTAGTGAAGGCTTGGCATGTTATTAATTAGTGGGTTCCTAGCTCACTCCTTTTTATACCCTTGGGATAAAGGGTATAAAAAGGAGAAGTCCATAGATAACCAAGGGTCTGTTTGGGAATGCTTTTAGAATAGCTAAAAGCGATTTTTTAACAACCAAAAGCGCTTATGATAGCTTTTGACTTAAAAGTTTAGAAGCGCTTTCTAAATAAGCTAGCACTCCCAATTGCTTTACCAGGAGGCACTTGGATTTCTTATGAAGATTTCAACATTTATATAATAGAAGCGCTTATGAGCAGCCCTGGTTTAATTGGTTCGAATAATAATAAAAGCAGAAAAGCAATGTTTTCTTTTTCCTCTTTACTTTTTCTTTCAGAACCTGCAAAAGAAATATTAGTTGATCAGTTCTTCACCATCAAGCTTGGCTTAGTGAAATAAAGCACTTCATTGATTTCTACTTAAATTTTTTTTTTTTTTTTTTTTTGTGCCATGGAGTGTAAAAATTAGAAGCTCCCATCCCAGAGCTATAATTTGTGTACATTCATTATCAAACATTTCAAATTTTTTGTGATTTTTTTTTTGAAACTTTTTTGGGGGTTATGGAGATTCCAAGGGGTGGATATGGATAGTGTGATTTGTGGTAGGGAGACTCTACTAACCCCGAGGGTAGGGGATGTGCTTTGTGCAACTTCACCCACCAATGCCAAGGTGAAGAGTTGAAGACCACTAATGCCTCACCTGAGAAGGTTTCCATAGCAACCAATCACTTTAATGTCCTACTTAGTTACAAGCCCACGCTACTAGGTTCAGTCAAAACTATAATTTTTGGATATTTATATTATCAGACGTTTAAAAATATTGTGAACTTTTTGCATTCTTTTGGTGGCTATGAAGAGATTCAACGGGTGGACTGTGTAAATGTATCGAATCTACATTTATGTATGGGTCTGCAAGAAAAGAATTCTATCCTTTTCTTCGTGCTAATTAATTATACACTCGAAAAGGCTATAGGTCCTCGTGCATATAGTTGGAAAAATAATAAATCAATTATGAATTCTTCTTTTCTTTTTTTTTGGTTCGGAATCAACTATGAATGGAGTTGGACGCTAATAGAGCTCAAGAAAGGGAGGAAAATATATGCATGTCTTAGATTAATGACTATAGTATCTACCGACATGAGATTTTCAATGATTTGTTACATTGGAGTACCCAACATAACAGCTCTCGGATTAACAATAAAGTTATAAAATTTCAACATTTTGATACCGAACAAGCATAGAGAAACAAATAAAACAACCACATTGATTCCATCACTCTACATGCACACAGCTCACTTTCACTAACAACAGAGGCTATATTTTCTACACCTCTAGGCTGGTGACAAACCCAGCTCGTGTCATGTGGAGGACCAAAAGGAAATGACAAGGAGAAAACGGCTAAGAAGGGACTCTCAACGCTTAGAAGGCAGAGCAGAGATGACAGAGCACACTGTTTGTATAAAAGTGAGTATGAGGAGAAAAATAGCCGCAGCAATTGAAATAGTTGCCCAAGGTGTGTTGCAATAGTTTTGTCTCTAGTTTGCCTGCCATTTGTGCCAAGACGTTCTGCAGTACTTGTTGAGGTCTGCACAAAGAACAGCAAAATAGAAGTCATTAGGGTCCACAATGACCCCATTCGCAAGGTTGTTAATCAGAGTAGACCCTTCACTACTGTCACCGAGACTATTTTCGATGATTCCATGCTTAACAAGCAACTCCACATCCTTTGCGGTGTTCACAAAGCGATCCATGATGACAGCATAATCATTTATGTAATTCTCCATGCAATGGCATTGTTCAAAGGCAAGGAGGTTTCTGATTGTAAGCTCTGTCTCATCACTTATTGCTAATTTTGGAATTTCTAGAATCCCATTAGCGAATTGTATGTCGAATAAGTTTTTGGGTGATCCCACCTTAAACTTGACTCCTGCTCTGTGTAACTCTGTGATGCTGGGTGTGTTTAGAGTTTCAAGTCGCCCTTTAGCATGTGGTTTCAATGGTAGAGGTAGATACAAATTTCTACAAAAATCTACAAAGTGTTCTACTTTAGAAGCACGTAATTTCTCCATATTGCCGTCTGTTCCCTCTATGTGCATTAGATTTTTGAAGAAATTGTGGCAAAGGTTGAGTATCGAAAGCCTTTCAATATTGTTATTGTTAGAAGAGACTTTGATTTTGTCGGGGTCAAAAAGTTCCTCAAGAATGAAGAATGGCAGCTGATTTTCAAGCAACCGCATGTCAGGCCATACGTCCTGCAACATATATGGTTTGTTAAATATGCAGTCATTTTCATCCTGCAATTCATCAAAATGATACCTCAACAAGACCTCAATGATGAAGGCGGCATCCACTAGAATGATTCTCACAAATTCATCACTGCTAACCTGAATGGTTTCTGCATAACAACTGCGCAGTTTTGCTTCTTGGTCTTTTACTTTCTGTACATAATCCGCAAGGCTTACCCTGGTCCGACGTATATAATCTTGTAAGTACCTCTTTTTGTGATCTTCCATGGCTTTTAGGCCTTGCTTGCCATGATGAAGTGGGCCTATAGAGACTACCTGAGGTGTGTAGGCCTTTTCACTCACACGCCGTAGTCGTTCAGGAACTCTATAAATGCAACACAAAGAGGAGAGGGGAGACAAGCCATCCAACTCCTCACTCATTGAAGTTACTAATGGAATGCAAGGGTTTTCAATATCATGTGGAGCTTGATCGCTTCCTTCCATTTTCCGCTGATGTGTTTGTTGTTGTCAATCGTAAAGGATGATAATGAAATGATAGTCACTGACACAACAATAAACAAATTTTTAAAGATGGTTGAGAAAATTAATACAAACATTGCAACTATAAGACCAAACACACAAAGACTTTTGATCCTTGTAACTCTTACATACCACACTACTGCCTTAAGAATTTGATTTGAATGCACTAATTCATTCAAAACTCTTCTGGTCAACTTTGTTTCTTGTAATTATTCTTGGAAGATTCTAATTCAGTTTTGATTGAAAAATTCCTACTAATCATGTGAATCAGTACGAAAGTTTAATTTACATTAACATACAAACGCCCCTTTTTTTATGTGTTCGAAAGGAAAAGAATTGAAAGTCTTGAATGAATTCTTACATTTATAAATAATAAAAAATCTTTTTCGTGTTCTGCATTATTGGAGATTCTATTAAAACAAATTCTTTGTGTAATGATATCAGATAGTAGATTATGCTTCCAGTCAAAACATTGACAAACCAAAATCCCATTAGAAGAGAAGAAAATTATATACGACATTTACATAACCTTTTGCTCAATTCCAAATTCCAACTAAAATGAAACACAAGACACTTAAAAAGCTTCAAGAAATTTGATGTGCAAGCAAACATAGAAAAATAAAGAAAGACAGAGAAAGGAGTTTGGGCATTGAAAACATACCTGCTATGGATTGAAACCCAAGTTTTTTGTTTTTGTTTTTTGTTTTTTTGTTTTTTTGTTTTTTCGCAGTTGGTAGATGAGTAGCTAGAAAAGCTCAATGCAGATAGCTTGCTCTTCTGCTACATTTCAGTATAAGAACTAGTGAATCTGGTTTGGAAGTCAGGTCAACTCCTCATGTAGCTTCCTTGCCTTTGCTTTGACATGTCTATGCACGTCTTGGGGAAGTTTGAATAATCCATTGCAGGCCCCACGACAACTAAAGAACCAACATTTTGTACAAGGGTTTGTCGACTATAGTTTCGGTGAAGTTTCTGTGTCCTTTGTGCAGAGTCTGCAATGCTTATTCCATGAAAATGTTCCGGAAAAAATGAGGTTGTTTCTTACTAGATTTAAAATGCTCATAAGAAAAGAAAAAAAAAAAACCAACGGGGTCTAACGGAGTGAAAAAGGGTCTTGATTTGCAGACAAGATGTCTCAGGTTCAAACCCCTATAACATTAGTTGTGTGTGTGAGAAACCCCTCCCTATCACTTGTACTAAAAAAACATAAAATAATAAATACATAAAAATTTTAACGGATTTGATGATGAAAAATATCAAACTCTCTTTGTATGCTTTTTCCTTGGACTTGTGCTGTTTAGTCTTAGACTCTTCCCACATCATGTTGGGCTTGTCTTCTTCTTGAGGATTGCATAGCGGTTTCTAGGCCCAGGAATGCTCTGAGTTAGTTTTTGTGTTTATGGGCCTTGGGATCCAACTTAACCACAAAAAGAATAAAGATTTGATCACCACCATGGAGAAATTAATCATAAAACAAATGAATTTTTACAGAGATTGGTGGATATTGGAAGTTTTTTTTTCTTTCTCTTTTTTCATTACTAACAAATTTATAACACAGAAATAAATAATATTTCATCAGAAACGATCTGGATAGGAAGAACCTGCAGTTTGGACAAACAATAGAAATATTACATTCATCATCGGGATTTTAAAGAGCTCTTCTCATGATATACATAGATTAAGGAATTGAGTTCACAGGCTTTCCTCGGATCCCTTTATTTGATGAGGACCCGAAATACTACTAGTTTCCCAAAAGTGAATAAATAAATAATAAAAACAGAGATGAGTCTACATATTATTGTCGGAAGAGAAAGCGGCAAAGCAGGGACTTACCCTTTAATGAGTAGCAGAGATAACAGAGCACACCGTTTGTATGAGAGTGAGTGTGAGGAGAACAACAGCGGCAATGACAGAAATAGATGCCCAAGGTGTGTTGAAATAATTTTGTCTCAAATTTGCCTTCCATTTGTTCCAGGACGATCTGCAGAAGTTGTTCAGCTCTTCACACAGAGTCGCGTAACAGAATCTATCGACAAAGAAAAGAGCCTCAGAGGCAAGTTTGGTAATCATAGATGACACCACGCTGGTGGTACCCGCAGTTTCAAAAATTCCAAACTCAACAAGCAACTCCACATCCTTTGGAGTGTTCGCAAAACGACCCATGATGCTAACATAATCGTTTAAGTAGTTGTCTTCCATGCAATGGCATTGTTCAAAGGCAATGACATTTCCCAGGGTCCGCAGTTTGTCACCAGTTATCATTATTTTAGGAATTATGAGAGTTCCATTTGCAAATTGTATGTCGACTAAGTTTTTGCTTGATCCTACCTTAATTTTGACTCCAGCTTGGTGCATCTCTTTGATGCTAGGTATGTTCAAGGTTTTGAGCTCCCCTGCATCTCTTAATTCTGATTCCAATGGTAGATAGAAAATTCTTATAAGATCAACAAAGTGTTGCACATTAATAGAACTAGAAGAAGATGATATTCTGTTCCATTTGTCTCCCTTCCCCTCCAAATTCAATATTCCAGCTGTGAAGAAATTCTTAGAAATATTAATTATTGAAAGCCTCTCATGATCATGAGCACCGTAATAATTCCTAAAAGAGTCGGTTATTATGCATGTGTGATAAAGATCCTCAAGAATGAAGAATGGGAGCTGATTTTCAAGCATCCACATGTCAGGCTGTACATATCTGAACATCCACGGTTTGTTTAATAAGCGGTCTCCTTCATGTCTTGATTCTTTCAGATAGAATCTCAATAAGAACTCAATAGTGAAGGCAGCATCCACTAGAATGATTTTTACAAATTCATCACTGCTAAACTTGATGGGTTCTGCATAACAACTTCTCAGTCTTGCTTCTTGGTCCCTAATTTTCTTGACATAGTCCTTCAAGCTTACCTTAGTCCGATGTATAAAATCTCGTACGTACCTCTTTTTCTGCTCTTCCATGGCTTCTAAACCTTCCTTGCCATGATGAAGTGGACCTATGGAGATGACCTGAGGTGTGTAGGCCTTTTCATCCAGACGTCGTATGTCATCGGGAACTCTGTAGATACAACACGAAGAGGACAAGGCAGGCAAGCTATCTAACTCCTCCCTCAATGAAATTTCTAATGGAACGTATGGCATGTTAATTGTATCATTTGGACCAGCTTGATTGCATTCTTCCATTTTCCTGTTGATGTGCTATGCTGAGCAAACTAAAGTGACGGCACAAAAGGCCACCCCTAAGAAAATTGATAGAGTATAAGATACAAATAACCCCCCTCAACTTTGACCAACGTGTCAATTTATTTCTTGAAATTTAGGGCCTGTTTGATAACTACTTCAATTTTAATTTTTAGTTTTCAATTTTTCATTTTTTGTGCTAGATAGTATAGAAGAAAACGAGAGTGAGGATGAGATTAAGAGAGAGGATAAGAGGGGAGGATGGAAAGGATGAATAACAAAAGTTAAGACAATTTCAAATAGATTTCAGTTTTTAGTTTTTGTTTTCACTTTTATTACTCATTCCTCTCATCTTCCCTCTCAATCTCATCTTCACTCTCATTCTCACCTTCCATGCTCTCTTGTTTTCCACTATACTCTTAACACAAAATGAAAACTAGAAACTAAAATAATAGTTATCAAACAGGCCCTTTAATTACAATGAAAATACCAAATATTGAACTCATCATAAGAGAACACAGAAAAACCTCACTGATTGCAACTCTTACACCACCACTACAAGAACAACTGCTAATGAAAATAAGTCACATGTGGTACTTAACTCTAAAAACTCATTTAGATCATATATCCATATTTATACATCCTACTCCTCGATCAAAACATACCATGAAACATAAGTGACTTAAACCTTCAGGCAAATGGAAGGTATATAGCAATTTATAGAACAATACAGTAATCCAGAAGAAATATTATGAAATGAAAAGAATAAAAATTAAAAAAAGAGAAGGAAAGGAATACCCACCTGCTACGTATATGTATGAAAGGAAGGACCAAGATTGTTTTGCCTTTGGTTAATGACTAGAAAAGCTCACTTGCAGATTGCTTTCTCCGGCCGTAGATGCAAGAGAAAGTTTCTCTCAATAATAGCACAATGATCGGGTAATTGTAAGAACAAGTTGATTTAAAATTCAGGTCAACTCATAGATTTCTTGCCTTTTCTATTCTCCTTCCTTGGACATGAGCTGTTTAATCTTGGATTCTTCCCCATCATGTTGGGCCTGTCTTCTTCTTGGGGATTGTATAGGCCCAGGAAATGCTTCAAGGTAGCTTTTGTGTTTTGGGCCTTGGGACCCAACTTCACATAAAGAAAACAGATTTGACCAAAAAACAAAGTTGAAGGACACTGAAATTGTACCTGTATATGATGGGTTAAAACACCATGAGGTAAATAGTACGTTTACAGAGTTTAAGTGTAATAAAGGAATAAAAACATGCCCAGAGGATTGATAAGTGATATCAATTCTTGAATGTACATAACGTAAAATAAAGAAACACGCAGAAAATTAGTTTATGTGATAAAACTCCATATCTGAGGAAAATTCACGGGACTTCTTAGTCCAAAACAAATCCATTATAGAACGATGATTACAAGAAGTACTCACATACTTATCCTAGACACATTCTAGATAACGTTTGCTAACATATTCGTAACTCAACTTCTGTCATAGGATGATCTTTTGAACACTCCTTATGTTGAATGCAATACTGGTCACAATTACTTCAAGCTCGCCGGAGTTTTTCCAACTCTCCTTATGTTGAATCCGATATTGGTCACGATTGATTCAAGCTCACCGGAGAAAAATCGCCACAACAGTGTTGGTGCTCTCAACCGTATGAGTCACTGAATATGCAAATGAATACAATATGAATGATTAAAGTGTTTGATAAATCACCAAGTTATGGAACACTTGATGATTTATCTCAAATAAAAACTCAGCTTTCCAAAGTTTATGAATTGAAAATATGATCGTTAAAGCTCTCTAAACAAAAAAGACAAATGTCTTATTTTATAGACTTTTTCTTTACAAGAAAGAAAACATGTTGAAAGCCAAATCTCCAATTTCCAAGGCTTGACAGAAAATCACAAAAGTATCTTTCCTATTCTAGAGATTGGTCACATGTAATCCAACCAATAGGAAATGAGATATTTAAGAAAGGAAGATTTTGATCAATATCAATATCAAATGAATTCTTATATGCCTAGTCAACTATTAAGGGCATCTTGACTCCTTCATATTGTGATATGATTGAAAAATGATTTCCACGTTAGAAAATTAAAGGGATGTTAAAACATGAAAGTAATAGGAGAATCAAATTGATCTGGGCCAAAATTTCCTAAAAAGAAAACACTCCTAAATAAACTTCAATTCACTTTTAAAAACAGTAAATCCCAGCGGGTCACCTATTCTGGGATTGCTCTAACACCAACTCGCTTAACTTTGGAGTTCCCATGACTCTGAAGCTAGTGAGCTCCTAAAAGGCCTCGTGCTAGATAGAGGCGGGCATGTACATATAAGGCACATCACCCCCTCTCCGTTGGTCGATGTGGGATGTTATAATCCACCCCTCTTAAGGGCCCGACATCCTTGTCGGCACATTAGCATCACACGGCAGAGTGACTCTGATACCAAATTGTCACATCCCGGGATCGGCTCCGCCGTAGCACGATATTGTCCGCTTTGTGCCCTCCCTCTCTGCCCTCATGGTTTTATTTCTGGGAACTCACGAACAACTTCCCAGTGGGTCACACATCCTGGGATTGCTCTAGCACTAACTCGCTTAATTTCGAAGTTCCCATGACTCTGAAGCCAGTGAGCTCCCAAAAGGCCTCGTGTTAGATGGAGGCGGGCATGTACATATAAGGTACATCATCCCGTCTCCATTGGTGGATGTGGGATGTTATAACCCTGAATCAAATGTCTTTCACAAGTCAAGCCACAAGTCTGTGTTTTGGGGATTGCTAAGCAACATCAATCTTGCCAATGTCAATTCTACCCCTACGCTCGCTCAAAGCACGTTTACAACCTATGCTAACATATACTAGAGTTTATGCTAGTATCTAGAAAATGCCAACACTAATTTCGTAAAACGTAGAAATTGTTAGAGATTGGAAGTTTTTATCATTTTTTCTTCTAGTCTCTCCACCACTCACTAATACATATTACTCATGTGATGAGTTTACAAAACCTATTTCTCTTACTCTCCCAAGGATTATACTTCTTCTCAAAAGACTAGATCACTTTACCTCTATCTCTGTGAAATGTAAAAAGTTGAAACTTTATGTTCACCCGTTTTGTGTTTACTCATAAGATGAAAGGGCAAAGTTCCCCACTGCCTTGGAAACTATTGACTGGTCAATAAGTCAGCTTTCTTTGGTGTATGAGCGTGCCACTGCTAACAATGAAGATTCTAGCAGACTTCTTCTAGAATAAATAACTTGCACCCCAAGTTACTGATTTTTAAAACAAACGATTGTAAATTTGGGTGAGGAATATCTCTCAAGTAAGTTCTTTTCATGCCTCAGGCTAGTGAGAACTTTCATAATTTATCTCAGTATAAAAACGGTTGTTCTGGCCAGAAAAGTTGATAGAAATTGGACTGTTTTAGGCAAAACTGCCTTTAACAAAATTATAAACATACATATCAACGCTAGGAAAGTTAAAAGACAATTGGAACTTCATTTCTGCCTAGATAGAGGGCTCTGATCCAAGTTGGACTGGATATGTCTGGGCTGGACTGAACTGTCAACAACTTCAACTGCTAAGCTTCAGTTGTAAATCGATACCAAAGTTCAATGTTGGCATAGCTTTGATCTGCTTCAAGCTTTGTGGGTCTTTTGAGTGGACAGAACTGCGGCTTCTTCAGTCTGAACGGGCAGAAGTGGCTGTTCTTAAGGACTCAGTGTGCTAAGGACTGCACTATGAAATTTGTTGAGGTTTTCATGTTTGAAACAAACAGTTTTAGTGCTGTCCCTTTTCTATCCCGGGATCTGTCTGTACAGCTTGTGAATCCCACATAGTTGGAAAAAACTTTTTCAACCATTTGCCATTGATTGGGGCAGCATGAACTTCCCCATCTCGATGCTGCAACCTGTATGCCATCATTCCAAGGATCTGATTAATTATGAAAGGGCATTCCCATGTAGGTGACCACTTTTCATAACCAGCCACATGTGTTTCAAGGGGCAGAACTGCTTTCTAGACTATCTCTCCTTCTTCAAAACTCTTGTTCTTGACTCTTTTGTTGTAGGCTCTTGACACAGCTTGCTTTCCTGCCAGGAGTTTATTGAGGGTGTCAATTCTGCTTGCATCCAATCCTTCCAGTTCTAGCAGCATGGCTTGAGAGTAGTTTTCTCCAACCAGATCGTGTTGATGAGCAATTCTGAGGGACTGAACAGCTATCCATAGGCAGAATTGCATCATGGCCATAAGTCAGAGCATAGGGGGTCATACCGGTTGCTTCTCTCTTTGAAGTTCTATATTCCTATAGAGTTTCTGACAACTTCTCATGCCATTGCTTCGGATTTTTCTCAAGCATCTTCCTAATAATGTTGATGATCACTTTGTTACTTGATTCTGCATGCCCATTAGCTTGAGCATAATAAGGAGTGGATTAAAGCAGCCTGAATTTGAATGCCTCTACCATATCCAGCATCTCTCAGATATGAAAGAAGATCCCCTATCAGTTGTGATTGATTCTGGGATGCCAAACCTCTGTATAATCTGTTCTTTTATGAAGGTGATAATCTCTTGAGATGTAGTGGATTTAACAGGCTTGGCTTCCACCCATTGGTGAAGTAGTCTGTAGCAACAATAATAAAACAGTGCTGCTGGCTGCTGGCTGGATAGATCTTGCCTATGAGATCCATTACCCATCCTCTAAAAGGCCATGACTTTACCACTGGATTCATGGGAACTGAATGAGCCTGCTGGATTGGGCCGTGCCATTGACAAACCCACACCCTTTGGAATAGTTAATGCAATCTTTCATCATGGTTGGCCAAAAGTAGCCATATCTCTTGATTAACCAGCACATCTTTCTTCCTCATTGGTGGGCTCCATAGATCCCTTCATGAGTCTCTCCCATGACTTTCATGTATTCTTTCCTTCCGAGGCACCTTAATAGTACCTCATCCTTGCTTTTTCGGACCAAATCTTCATTCCATATAAGGTAGTTCATAGCCATGATTCTGACTCTCTTTTCAGAGGGCAGAGTTGGATATTGTAAGTAAGTTATGATAGGATTTCTCCAATCATCTTCAGTGATCGTGGCAGAATTGACATCTATCTCCATCCATTTGGTCAGAACATATGGTAGACTTTTCTTTCCTACCTTGATGATCCTCTGTACATAGTTTTCAGGCATTTGTATGCCTATTGCTATCTGAGCCAGCTCATTGGCTGCAAAGTTTTCTTCTTTTGGGATATGTTCCCAAGTAGCTTCTCTGAATTCTGTCAGAAGATTCCCAGCTGCTACTAAGTAAACAGCTAGACAATGACTTAGGCACTTGTATTCTCCAGCAATCTGTTTTAGCACAAGCATAGAATCTCCCAAAATTTCCACAGACTGGATTCCTAATTCCACCAGCATTTCTAGGCCAATGATTAGAGCCTCATATTCAGCCCTGTTGTTGGTGCACTGGAAATCTAACTGGAAAAAATAATAGTGTCTGATGCCAAGTGGTTCTTCCAAAACAATTCCTGCCCCAGAAGCTATGTCAGTCTTTGATCCATCAAAGTACAACTTCCAAGGCGTGAGATGAACTGAATAGATAGGATTGTTCAGGCAGGTATGAGCTCTTGTCAACAGGTCTGCTACAGCTTGTCCCTTGACAGCTTTCTGGGGAACATATTTGAAGGCAAATTCTGTCAAGGTCAGAGTCCATTTTCCAATTCTACCTCTCCGCATTGGTCTTGTTAGTATGTACTTGATTAGATATGTCTTAGCAATGATGTAGATGGTATATGGCAGCATGTGGTGTCTGAGTTTCACAGCAGTGAAGTACAAGGCTAGGCAAAGTCTTTCAATTGCAGAATATTTTCTTTCTACTTCTGTCAAAGTTCTGCTCAGATAGTAGACTGCATGTTCTTTCCTTTCATTGTTATCTTGAACTAACAAACTCCCAATGGATACTTCTGATGCAGACACATAGAGCTTGAGTGGTCTGCCTCTCTTTGGTGGGGATAGAACTAGTGGATTTGAGAGGTAATATTTGATTTCCTCGAAAACCAGTTGGTGTTGTTCTTCTCATTTGAACGTCTGTTCCTGCTTCAATCTTAACAGAGAAGAGAAAGGCTGGATCTTTCCTGCATAATTAGATATGAATATCCTTAGAAAATTCATTTTTCCTAGGAGACTCTGCAGTTCTTTCTTGTTCCGAGGTGGTAGAGCTTCTATGATGGATTTTGCTTTGTTCTTGTCAACCTCTATGCCTCTCTGGTGGACCAAGAATTCTAAGAAATTTCCTGCTTGAACTCCAAAAACACACTTCTTTGGGTTTATTTTCAGTTTATGTTGCCTCATTCTTAGGAATGCTCTTCTTAGATTTGATACATGATTTCCCTCCTTTGGGGATTTAATCACCACATCATATATATATACTTCCAAAGAATGCCCTATCATGTCATGGAAAACAGAATTCATTGCTCTTTGATAAGTGACTCCTGCATTTCTTAAACCAAAAGGCATTTCAGTATATTCAAAAACACCTATATGTCCTGGGCACACGAAAGCTGTCTTGTGGATATCTTCTTCCGCTACCATGATCTGATTGTAACATGCATTGTCATCCATAAAAGATAGCATCTGGTTATGAGCAGCTCCATCTACTAGCATGTCTGCCATTGGCATGGGGTATTCATCTTTGGGAGATGCTTCATTCAGATTTTTGTAATCTACACAGATTCTAACTGCCTTTGTTTTTCTTTTGAGAACCGGTACAATATTGGCTAGCCAATCAGCATAGATAGCTGGTCTGATGAATCCTGCCTTGAGCAACCTTTCTATTTCTTCTTTCACTTTTAGTTCTGTATCCATAGACATTCTTCTTCTGGCCTGTTCAACTGGAAGGTAGCCATCCTTAATTGGCAGCTTGTGTTCTACCAATTCCCTGTCTAATCCTGGCATTTCATGATAATGCCAAGCAAAACAATCTCTGAACTCCTGCAAAAGTGCAATGAGTTCACTCTTAAATGGTTCTTTCAACAGTGCACTAATAAAAGTAGGTCTTGAATCCTCTTCTGTCCCTAAGTTTATTTCCTGCAAAGGATCTTCCACTTCTGGTAGAGAATCATCTAGGCTGCTGTTGCAAAATCTAATACTTCCTCCTGCAAACTTTCTTCCTTTTGATCTTCCGTGCTTTCATGGGTGAATTCTGCCATATTGATGGCTGGATTCTGCATGAAGAGCTTTCTTTCTTCCCAATACATCAACAATCTTTTTGTAATGGATCGGATTGTTGCAGCTCGATCCTTTTCCTGTTGATAGGGGACTAATCGTCAGAGTTCTGGAGGTTAACAACAAAAGGTCTATTCCAGTCCTCTAGGGAACTGGCTAGACCATCTTCAATGAGCCTCTGGGCTGTGACACCATGGGGGCGGCCGTTCTGGTTGACTCTAAGGAAAGTGAAAGGACCAAGGTCATCATGATAGTACCTTACCTCAAAATACATGGCAGAAGGCAGAAATGGCCGTGGATCGGCCTCTACTATCTCCATGTAACCCTCTTCATTCCATAAAGCTAATTGCTGATGAAGAGTGGAAGGAACACATAGACTCTGGTGAATCCAGTCTCTGCCAAGCAGTGAATTGTAAGTGGTAGAAGTGGTGTCTACCACAAAGAATGCAATCTTCAGTTTTTTGCTTCCAAATATGACATCCACATCTAAGATCCCGTGAGTTTTGGTGATGCCCCCTGCGCAATTGGTGACCGTCAAGCGTGTTGGAATCAAATCCTTCTCTGTTCTGCCCATTTTGCTCAACATTCTGTGAGGCAGAAGATTAATGGCTGCTCCTCCATCTACCATGACTTTGGGAATAGGAACACCCCTAAAATTTGCTGTTATGAACAAGGGTCTGATGTGATTGGCCATCTCTTTGGTTGGTTTGGAGAAACAAAGCTGTTCTGTAGCCAGTTTATTGGTAGTTCCTCCTGTCCTGCGATTACCTGTTTGCTGTTCTGGTGGCTCTTCTACTTCTGCCAACATTCAAAACTCTCCTAGGATAACACATCTCCCTCCAAAGTGCTTTCTTGTCCTTCCACTGCTCTGAATTTTTCTGGCAGAATGAACACCATGTTGATGCCTAAATCACCCTGCAACAAGTCCTCCAATTCGGCGCCAAAAGCTTCAGTTTTTGCATCTCTTTCTCCATCATACTCCATCTGTTCTTCCCCATATTCTTTTGTCCAGTCTCCTTGTTCTCTTGCTTCGAGGAGTGCATTCTGGTCATCTGCAGATGGTTCATAATCTAGCTGTTCATCTTCATCTTCCTCAATCCAGTCTTCTTGTCCTTCTGCAGGAATAGCTTCGGATTTTCCTTGTGGTGGTTTAAGTAGATTGTCTGAGGATGAGGCATGATGGATAAAAGGCTTGCCTGGAGATTCTGCTCTCAACAGCTTCTGTGGCTGGGAGATTGCTTGTTCTGCCTAGAGGAGTACTTCCGGCCTTTTCCCTTTTTTGGCAGAATCGGTCCCTGGAAGTACCCGTGCATCCCTTTTGTTATTGAGGAACATGCAGTACTGCCTTTGGACCCTCCTTTTCTGAGTTTTGGTTAACTCCATGGTTGGTCTGCCACTTTTTCAGATAAAATACCACCTGCCTTCTATGATAGCTGCCAAAGGTTTCTCATCCCCGGGCATCTTGATTGATATTTCCTTCTTGGGCTGCTCTGTCATCCTCTTGCTCTGCTGGGCAGGCTTGGGATAGCCTTTTTGCCTAGCTCTATCTCGAGATGAGGTTCCAATTATGTCAAAAACACTCGGAGTGGGTTGGTTCTATCTGTCCAGGACCACTTCTAACTTAGCTTCACATTTGCACTTGCTGCAGAGCACTACTCCAACTGAGATAGTTACTTTTGGTCTTTCAATAGTTTCCCTTGAGACTATTCTGCCTCTGCTGGATCTAGCTTCTGTCGTTTGCCTGCTCCTCTTTTGTTATGGCCAATTTAAGTTGACCATGTTGACTTGTGGTTGGGGAAAAGGATCTGTTGTGACTTATGGAGGTTTCTCCGCTAGCTTCAGCCTTCCTGCTGTTATTCCTTCTTGTATAACATCTCTAAAAACAACACAACTATTGATAGAATGATTCCAAGAGTTGTGCCACCTGCAATACTGCCTGCCCTTGAGTTCTTCTGGCTTGAGGGATCCTGTGGGTTGTTTCTATTGCTTTCTGTAGCAACATCTCATCAAATAAAGCATCCACCTTGGTTAAATAAAGGAATAAACCTTGTTTTGTGTTGGTTTGTTTGGAACAAACCCTCCTATGAATGGTGGCGGCTTCTGATCCTTTAGTGGCTTTGTAAGGGCCTTGCAGCTGATGGGATGTTTAAATTTTGCCATCTCTACCACTACAATCTCTCTTTCCTTCGACTCCTCTGCTTCATCTTCTGATTCTACCTCAACTAGGTGGACTGAAGAAGAAGGGGTCTTGTAGTAGGTACCTTTGGAGGAGTTCCTCCTTTGTTGTTCTTCCCTAAGCAGTTCCTCATATTTGGATGCTTTGTCGGCCAGTTCTGCCAGATCTCCAAACAGCATTCCATCAAATTTTTTTCTCAAAGAGATTTTAAGGGCAGCCTGAGCCATCTAGATGAAGTGTCTTTCTTCCATAAGGATCCGGCACTTCATTTTGAGCTTTCTGAGCCTGGTTATGAAATCTTGGGCAGGTTCATCTTCACTCTGCTTGAGGGCAGCAAGATCACTGATGGTGACTTCTGGCTGAATCTTGTAATAGTAGTCAAGGAAAACATTTTCCATTTGCTCCCAAGTCTGAATAGAATTGGCTGGCAGATTGGTATACCAGGTGAAAGGCAAAGTTCCCCACTGCCTTGGAAACCATTGACTGGTCAACAAGTCAGCTTTCTTTGGTGTATGAGCGTGTCACTGCTAATAATGAAGATTCTAGCAAACTTCTTCTAGAATAGATAACTTGCGCCCCAAGTTACTGAATTCTAAAACAAACGATTGTGAATTTGGGTGAGGAATATCTCCCAAGTAAGTTCTTTTCATGCCTCAGGCTGGTGAGGACTTTCATAATTTATCTCAGTATAAAAACGGTTGTTTTGGCCAGAAAAGTTGATAGAAATTGGACTGTTTTAGGCAGAACTGCCCTTCACAAAATTATAAACACACATATCAACGCTAGGAAGGTTAAAGTGGCTGTTCTTGAGGACTCAGTGTGCTAAGGACTGCACTGTGAAATTTGTTGAGGTTTTCATGTTTGGAAAAAACTCGAACTCTACCTGTCTTGGCTTTTGCTGAACCAAATTTGTAACGAGAGAGATCTAGTTTTAAATGACTTATTTTCTAAGTATGAACTTTGGGGATTTTGATCTAAAGCTGGCTTCTCTTGGAGTTTGAGTGAGCTTTTTGGTTGATTTCTTGTTGTTTGTTTGATTGATGAATTGAGTGTAAGATTGATTGTCCTTTGCCCTGTTCACTCCCTCTTATATTTATAAGAGATGCACAGGGGCAGGGTTTCTTAAAAATAATTGGCGGCAAGTCTCTTCAAAGATCTACAAAGATATAAAAGAGAGGGAAGGATTCTATTTAATTATGTCAGATAGGCTTTTATCAATCAATCTTTGAGATCACTTCCCTGTTTTTAAAAGAAAACCTAATTCCTTTTCCCAATTTAATTGCCCCTTGTGAGATTTCAACCATGATGGTTAGTTTGATTTCTTCAGTTTGAACAAATCCCTACTTTCCTGCTTATCTCTTTTCTGAAAACATAGCCTGCGTATCCTTTAAAAAGATGGTGTCTCTTTGGAGTGAAAACAATATCTTTGAATATGTAAGAGGGATTTTGATCTTCGAATGGCAGAGTTTCAGAGATGTCTTTTCCTAGTTTGCCAGCCACTGTCCTTTTCTTTTAAAATTCCCAATCAACTCTGTGATAGTTGAAATTGTTGACTTTTCCATTTTTGGTGGTCACATGGGTTCTTGAAAAATAGGCCTTAATCAAATTTTGTGACATTTTAATCTGATCTGCGCTAGTGGTGGGCTCCTCTCTCTTTGTAAAAAGAGTTGGGCCTCTTTCTTTTCTTAATTTATGCCGGGCCTTTTTCCAAACTAAAGGCTGGGTTTTTGAAGCCCAAGTTTTCTTGCCACTTTGATCAGTCTTGGTTTGGCCCTTTTGATTTTTCTGGGTTCCTTGATGTTGGGCTGGGTGTGCCAATTTAGGCCCAAACACTTTAATGTCAAACCTCGACAAAAGATGAACTTCCACCAGTTACGTTAAATTTGGATTTGTTGAACTTATTACTTTCTCTGTCAGTGTTTGATGACTTCATTTGTTATTTACTTTTTTTTTTCCTTGATCTTCCATCAATGGAAATGCGTTCCACCTGTGTCAGGAAGAAAAATATGCACAGGTTAATAGATTTAATAGAAGCCCAAGATTTCGGAAGCACATAATTTCTACAAAAATCTGCAGAGTGTTCTACTTTACCAACTTATGTCTACCGATTTCTATTAAAATTAATTTCTCTGCGGTGCTCAAATTCATCATATATGTGTGTCCTTAATTTTAGTAGAAATTGGAAGTTTCCATCATTTTTGCTTTAAGTCACTCTTCTGAAGGAAGCTGAGGTTCCACCCCATAATCAAAACTGTCAGGTTGACTTATGACAAACAATGTAAATATGTAGGAGTACTATGACCTTTTATAGCATTTTTAGTTTGAATTTGGGTTTTATACATAGATTTCGAAATTAATAGGTTGATGTCTAGGAAATAGAAACTGTAAGGGCCTATATTATACTAGCCCTCTTAAAAAAATATATTAATTAATGAATATTTGTTCTTCTTGTTGTTTTGAAGTAGTGGTGGGAGGCAGACCAACAAAAAAATATATAGCGAAGGCTTATAAGAGCTTTTATAATTATGCTCCTTATTTTTTAGTTAAAATAAATAAATAAAAAAAAAAAAAAAAAAAAAAAAAAAAAAAAAAAAAAATAGTTATAGGTCTTTGGATCTTGAACTCTTTAATTAAACTCAACTCCTTATAGGAGTCATAAATACTATAGTTATTTTTAAATTCAATTTGATTGGTTAATCTCTATAAAACAGTTAGCATTAATTAAAAGTTTAAATTATGCATAAAAAATTATAGGGAGCCACTATGAGTCATTTCTCTCTCCTCAAATTTAGAAGCTCCTAGAAGTCTCCTTATTTTAGGAGGTGGATAAGGAGCATGGTTGGAGTTGTATTTTTCCAATTCCCTCCCTAAAATTTGTCTAAAGAGATGGTTTATGAGAAATTATACAATGGTACCGTATTACCACGTCAGCTGGTGATACTTCCATTCAAAAAAATGCCACGTATTATTATTATTTTAAATAATTAAAACTTTTTTTTACAGCTAGACTTTAAATATGTTTTTATCTTTAAAATAAAATTGAGAAAATAAGACAGAAGAACCACTACCCACCCCAACCCGGGCTCCCTTGACTGACTCGCCCTCCCTATCATTTTCTCCCTTCGTCCATCTCTCTATTCCATAAATAACAACCATATCTCTATTTCATTGGATTGACTTGTAGAGAGCATCATAACCCTCTTTTTTTTTTTTTTTTTTTTTTTTTTTTTTTTTTTTTGGGGGGGGTCTGATCTTTTTTTTTTTTTTTTTTTTCTCACAAAAGGGATTAAGATTCTCCTTCTCCTCCTCCTCCATCACTCACTTCCTGAAACATATTAAGACAAAAAACACCAACCCAGTTTACAGTTTACACATATGCTTGAAAATGGAAACCCAAGTTGAAGATTTAGATTTTTTTGGAACTGGGTTTAAGTGATGGATACTCCTGACATACCTAGAATATATGATATTGGTTTTGTTTTCTGCTCCCATGGTTTAAGAGATCTTGCAGATTTTTATGGAGAGAGAGAGAGAGAGAGGGAGGGGGCGGCAAGCAGTGGGAGTGGGGAAATTGGGATAGGTTGGGGTGGGAGGGAGGTGGTTATGGCGTCTTTTGTTTTTTGTCTTTCTAAAATTATATATATACTAAAGCTCAACCCAACTAAATACTGTTCCTAAGCACAGTTAATTTACGAAAATGCCTTCATTTTAAACTGTTCAGCCAGCTTTTCTCTCCTTTGAACAGTAAAATTACGAGTTTGCCCTTGGCTGATGGTTTTGTGTTTTTCCCGTTTTGCCCTCTCTTTCCTTGGGATGTAACTAGCGGATGTTTAGGGTTGAGAGGCGTCTGGTTGGATTTCAACTAGCTGGTTGGAGAGCTTCAGGGGTAAAATGGGATAGCTATTGGTTCTTCGATGTCTACATCTGGAGGCTTCGACTGTTTTACACAGCCATAGGTCACCGACTTCAGTTTTGGCTTCCATTCTTCACCTAACCATTGCTTCACTTCCTTCATCCCCCTCTACAGCAGCTCCGGTTCCATCTTCCTCCAGCCACCAACCACCGGCTACGGCGACCACTCCTCCTCCTTTCTCTCTCTCCCTTGCTCGCGCTCTCGCTTTTTCTCTGTCAAACACCCACAGGTAGTGTTTTTGAAATTCTTATTTCTCTGTTCTATTCTTGGTTATTATTTGATAAATTTGATTGGGGTTTTTTTTTCCTGGATATTTGAGGTAAAATAGAATTCGAAACCTGATCAATTTCTTCTGGGTTTTGCAGTGCTCTGCCTCAGTTTGTTTGCTTTGGCTGTTTTCCATTCTGGGTTGAGGTAAATTTCTTTAAAATCTGCCTCAATTTGTAATCTGAACAACGTGGCAAGTCAATTCCTAGGAGTTTTGCCTTTTGTACTTTTGCAATTCTACTCTTCTATGAATCTGGGCGAATTTTATTTTTAATGGCAGTGGTGTAATAGATTTTGGTTTACATACCCAAGTTTTCAATTTGATATATGATAATGTTGAATTGAGTCTATAATCAAATCTGTTTTATGATGATGAAATGAGATGACAAGAAAGGATGATGATGGACGAATTGATATGTTGAGAATTGATGACTTGAAGCAAAACTCAATAACTAAAAGGCTGTTTTGGGTTAACTAACAATCACATTGTGCAAAGAGATCAGAAGTTGGAACCTAAGAAATCTGTTGCATATCTCAAACTATGATGTGATAAGGCCCCTTAAAACCAATATCTCCCTGTTTATTGAGTTTTCACTGGATAAATTTTGCTCATAGTTTTCTTCAATTGCGTTTAATTGAATCTTAATTAATAAGCATGCGTTTTTATTTAGGTATATATCTGTGTGTTTTAATGTGCAAAGGGTCGTGTTTTCAGGTGATTTTATCATTAAGATGCCAATGTTGACTGCTCCAAGTACAATTGTTAGCTCGCCTCTTTGCCAGCAGGTATTTATGAGTACCCATTGCTAAGTTTCTGTGATTTTTTTAAGATAATGTTTTAATGTGCAAAGGGTCGTGTTTTCAGGTGATTTTATCATTAAGATGCCAATGTTGACTACTCCAAGTACAATTGTTAGCTCACCTCTATTGCCAGCAGGTATTTTATGAGTACCCATTGCTAAGTTTCTGTGATTTTTTTAAGATAATAATACTAATGATTGATTTGATTGGAAGCTACAAATTTTGAAATGAGGTATTTCTTCCATCAGTTTGTGTTTTCATTGTTCACCGACTTCCTTGCCTTCGTCTTTTTCATCGCTATGATCTTCCTCTTATCTTCCAAGGTGCTCACTTTCCGACTCACTTGGGTTCTATCATGAAGAGGATTGAATCTCACAGATTAGCTCAGGTATTTCCATCGTTCTTATTATTAATTTTTTTAATCAATTGTCGATTTAATGACTTTGCTCTCTTGGAGAAATCTTAGAAATGGAAATCATTCCCAATTTCTGTTTTGGTTGCCGATAAAACAGTGGAAAGCAAAGACCAAGGGTGTTTGAAGAAAAAAAAATCCCTTTTTTTATCTGCTTTTGGTTGCTGTATCCTAAATATGGAGAAAAAAAATTAATGATAAAACACAAGGAAAAAAGAAGTGAAGATTAATCATGTTTCGACAAAATAGAAATTGGGTGCTTTATTCTTTTTGGGCTTAACTTTTCTCATGGATTGCTTGCACTTGAGGGCATTCCCCTGCATGTTATTGTTTTAATGCTTTTGCCCTATGTTGGGTCATTTGGGTTGGTGTCATTTTACATTGCTAACCTTATGTTTGTACATTTTGCTTGAATTTCAGCTGCACCCAGAAAACTGTCTGAGAAGATAATCTGCAGAGCAGGCGACTTGCAATCTACTGAGGTTAGGTATCTAACCACTCCAAGGACCTCCTCTCCTTTGAGTTGTAGTTTCATTTAAGTTGCTAGATGTTCATTCGACAGTTGAAGGCTCTAAAAGCAAGCTAATATATAGAGTGATGGTATAAATAGATGGATCATGGATCTTGGTGCAGTTCTCTCTGTATTTTTGGGTATTGTTTATCCTGTTTTGATTCATGTTTTGGTTTTTATGTATTTTGTTTTTAGAAGTTGGACTTTTTGGAATTTGATATTGATATGGGAATTGAAAGCTTTCAGTTCAGGATAATGATTTTCATTGTGTGTTAATGAAATTGTTCACTGGCTTTTCCTTATCTGAAAAATGCCAATTTTCCATGGAAAGAAAGGAGATTAGGATATTATATAGAAACAAAAGAAATTGTTGTGTTATGTATTGCAATACAGTTAGTGAAATAATTTTTTTTTTTAATAAATTTTTTTTTTTTTTTTTCAATTCATAGTGGAAATAGCTTTAAAGTGGGAAAAATCATTTTAACAATGAGGATGAGTTTTTTTTATTTTTTTTATTTTATAGGTTGGCTACATATCAAAACACTGTTAATTAAAGATGTAGCACATGTGGCACTAATTACACAAATTGTGTAATGATCTATTATTGTTAAATTTGCTTTCTTATTTTATTTTTTGTTTTTCTGTTCATGTTTTTTTATACTAATTTTATGTAATATTTACTGATTTGGTGATGTCATGTTAGAGATGTTCAAAGTTTGAACATTACCTCCAATATTTGAATTCTAATTCTGAATTTTAATTCTTCTCTCTTTCTAAGTATGAACACTACCTCTATTATCTGGAACAAATTGGCAAAAAACAAAACACATTTCAATGGAGATAAAATTTGACCATGCAGAGAGCTTCTTTATCTGAGGTTTGGAGGTGTAAGAGGAGTTGGGGTTGCACTAATTTTTGTTTGTGGTATCATGGAGTCACACAGTCATTTAATGTTATTGATTACATCTGTTTTGCTTGGTTAGGCTACAGAAGCTCTATTTAATTAGTTTTTGGATATTGTGTTGTTTGAAAATTCTTATTTCTATAGCTGTGCTATTGTTGGTGTGTGTCCATTTTGCTTCACTAGGCTATAGATGTAATTAAGAAATAATAGTTTAATTCATGAATGTTTTTTTCCCTTCCCAACTATTGATCTGTTGGTCAAAGTTTGACTCTGATTTTTGCTTTGGATTTTGATGATGGCAAATATTCTGTTTTCTTCTATCTCTATTTGTTTTTGTTTTCCAGGATTTTTCTTTTGTTTTAGAAGTGGACTAACAAAGTTTAGGCATCTCATATAAAAACACTGCAAAGAAAAACATATTTGGACAGTTTTAGGACTAGAAAAACATATTTTGAATTTTTTTTTGTTTTAAGTGAGCTTTTTAAACATGAAAAATGAGATGTAGCTGCCTTTGGTTTCATTTGATTGATGTTTTGGGTTGATTTTTAGGCATATATGTTTAGTACAAATTGGAGCTTGATCTTTAGATTGTTAGAAAAGACTTTGAGATGACTCAATTGTTGAATTAGAGTATGAGATTTTGATATCTGTTTAAAGGGGAAAAAGGGAAAACAGAAAAATGGAATTCAAAAATATATAAAAAAATCTTGATTGTTTAGGGTGACTTTTGCATAGGTAACTTTTGATTGTTTAGACCAGTAACTTTTGACCTTATATTCTTTGTTTCATATGCATTTAGATCATTTAAACAGCCATTTTCCTGTGCTTTTACAGTGTTTTTCTTTACCCAAAACACATTAATTTGGGTAATCTTGAGTGATTTCTTGCCTTGCAGATTTTGTTCATGCTAAAGTTTTGGTTTTATGAAAAAATTGTGCATGTATAAAAATACGCAAGCTAATTTCTTCTCCATTTTTCTGTTTTTTCTTGCTTTTTCTTCCCTCTTTTTTTTTTTTTTTTTTTTTTTTACCATGTTTTCTTTTGATATTTTGCAGGTGGTCTTTTGTTGCTTTGGATAGAGCAGTTTGGTTGGTGTTTTCGGTTATGTTAAGCAGGAGGTGAGTTTCTAGGCTGAAATTTCCAATTAATTGTTTTAAGTTTTGTGAATAGAGCATAGGAATTAGCTAATGGTGTCAATTGACAATTGGTTGGGATAAGTGTGTGCTTCTTATTTTTTCTTCAAGTCCTAAAGAAAGATGGCAACCGTACAAAAATAGACTTCAACAATTTTCAAACGCAAAAAAAGGATTATATGCCTTATGAGAAGAAGAAACTGAATTTTCGGTTTTTGCGTTTTTTACAGGTGCTGTATAACTGTTTTTTAGACTGTTTGGTAGCTCTTCCCATTGCTGGTAGACAACAGGTCAGTTTTCTATTCGTCTTTTGAAGAAGTCTTGCATATCAACTGTGGCTAATTGGTTTTTGGATATTGTGTCTTTGAAAATTGTTATTTCTATCATTGTGATGTTATTGCTTATATGGTTTGTTTGATTAGGCTATAGAAATTGTATTTAATTCGTTTTCATATGTTTGTTTTGAAATTTTTTATTTATATAGCTACAATACTGTTGGTGTGCGTCCATTTTGCTTGATTAGGATATAGATGTAATAAAAATATTGTAATTTAACTCATCCATGTTTATTTTTTCCTTTCCAGCCATCCATGTGTTGGTTGATCATTTAGGCATATGTACTGTTCTTCTTAATTTTTTAATGATGAATTTTTGGTATGCAATTTTGATATCAAACATCCCCTGCGAATATATACATTAACTTTTTAATAAGAACCCATGTAAATCAGCTACACGGTGTTTGATTATTATGCATCAAAGTTATTCAAATTAAAGAACACATTATTAAAAAGCATGACATTATAATCAGTAATGTATACTCTTTATTTCAAATGCAGCATCTAATAGTTTTTAAATAGACAGTGTAGCATCTCCATTGCAATACAGTTAGTGAAAGAACTTTTTCTTAATAAATGTTTTTTTTTGTTTTCAATTCATAGTGGAAATAACTTTAAAGTGGGAAAAGATCATCAATTTTTAACAATGAGAATGATATTTTATTTTTAAAAAAGGTTGGCTATATATCAAAACACTGTCAAAGATGTAGCATATGTGGCACTAATGCTCCAATTGGGGATGACCAGGTTGTTCAGAGCCCTATTTTAGAATCTAGAATGTCTTTATTTTTCGCTCTTTTGATTGTTGCTTAATTTTATTTCAAATTGCTTCTCTGCAAATGGTTGGTTTCAAGTCACAATTATGGGCCATTGAACTAATTTCCAGAAACAAATTGACCACATTGGCTTAACTAATTATATAGGGTTTGGTTGATGTTTGGTTTTATCGAATTTGTTTTTACAGAACATTTGGTATTGGTCTACACTGTCTTGCATGCATATGGATTTTGAAATGAGTTGTGATGTGTTTATTTAGTTTTCTCTTTATGGTGTTGGTTACTTTTCAACCAATTAACATGTGATTTTCCTCTCAAGGAATTTGAAAAGAAACCAGTCTTCAATTCGTATCGTCATATTTTCATGTTTTCATTTGTTTGTGTAAGAAAAGGAAATGTAACAAATAGTTTCTGTTGGTTCTTAATATTCTTCAATACGAAAAACAGTATTGAAACAGATTCATTAATTGAGACTGTCTTCTCTCACAAGCAAAACCAAAATTATATTTATTAGTCTAATTTTGTTTTTCTGTCTTTGTATTTTAGATAGCTGTTGTGATCCTGCTTTTGTGTCGCTGTTTTTTGAAGTGCTTGATAGCTTCTTTGACTACAGGTTAGTGTTTCATCCATTTTTCAAAAAGACTGCATGCATGGTGGCTGTAGCTTATTGATTGCCAAATATTATGACATTTGAAAATTCTCATTTCTGTGGTTCTGTCAATATCACGGTGCATTTGCTTTGCTTAATTACAGTTTAGGTGTGATTGATAATTTAAAATTTTATAAATGCATGTTTTTTCTCCTTTCCAGTTATCAATCTGTTGCTTGGGGTTTTAAATTTCTGTGAATAATGCGTAAAAAGACTAGAGATAGCAAACGAAATCAAATGATGCAAGAAGCTCATAGTTTTGCCATTTCAAATGGTATAGATTTATGAAAGTGTTTGTCTTGCCGATGATAAACATAAAACCAGAGAAGAAAATGTGTCAGATTCTGACAATTTACTAATTATCGGTTTGAAGAAAAAAGCCCAAGGCAGTTCCAAAATTGCCTCTCCTACTTCCACATGAGAGTTTATGCTCTTTCCTTTTCAAGTCATTCATCTAATTAATGTACACATTATATTAGGGGTGGCATTTTAGACCCAAAAAACCCCATTCTTCTCCTTTTTAGGTTGCTTCAGAAGCTCAAATATGTACTGATAGGGGGAGCAGAATGGGTCATTGTTTCTTGGGATCGCTGACAGATTCTCGTCGCCGTCTTTTGCAAAAACCAACCGACTATTTACCGCAATTAAACCGCAATCGCGGTAAACCGAACCGCATTTGCGGTTGCGGTTTTTGATTTTCAAAACTTGCGGTTACCGCAAACCGCAAAGTATAGCCAATCTATGTTGTTTTATTTGATATTCTTATAATAAAATATACTAAACTATGTTGTTTTATTTGTAGATAGCATTGATGCTCAAACAACACAACAGTGTTCTTCAAATCCACTCACCACCAACACTTTAGTTTGTAACATTGGTGCATTGCATTTCTCTTTTAGTTTGTAACTTTAATTAACTTTGAATTATATTTTTCTTTTAGTTGTAACTTTAATTCATTTTGCTTTGCATTTTCCTTTTGGTTTGTAACTTTAAAGGATTTGGAATTGGAATGCTTGAGAAGTTTAACTTTAATTGGAATGCTTGGAATTGTAACTTTAATTTTCTTTAGGTTGTGAATGCTTGAGAAGTTGAGGAGATTGTGAATTTATATATGCTTGAGAAGTTGAGGTTGTGTATTTATTTATTTAGGTTGTGAATTTATATTTTTTTAAATGCTTGAGAACTTGCGGTTTTAAACCGCTAATTCGCGGTAACCGACCGCAAAAAGCGGTCGGTTTGCGGTTTCAAAAATCACCATACCGCAAATAATCGATCGGTTTGCGGTTTGAGCAAAAATTCGCGGTTACCGAACCGCAACCACCCCTACATTATATACATAATATTTCATTGTTCACAACTTATTTCCCCACTCAATTTCTCTATATTAAGTGGTAGTTGATTGCATTGAATTTGGGCAAAGTTTCCTTTCTCATAATTGTCTTCAATTATGATTCAATTTTAAAGAAAATTTATCAACTCTTCTTTTAAAATATGATTTTTCTCAAACGTCTTTTAGAATGCAATTTGGTTTCAAAACCCGCAGCATGGCGCGGGTGCCTTTGCTAGTTTTATTCTAAATGTCAATAATGAATTTTCAATACAGCTTGTAAAAAATCAAATTTATTTAAAAAAGATTGACACATGGCGTATTTTGAATGGAAGTATCGCCAGCTGACGTGGTGATACAGTACTATTCTATAATTTCTCGTGGTTTAGGGAATCCATTGTGAATGCTCTAACTCTGTTAAAACATGAGTGACGTGGACAACACATGTTACATCATACTTAAGATTTTTAGGTTTCTTTAATTGGTTAATAAGCATTCACAATGAGCTCCCTAAACCATGTCCTTAGACAAATTTTAAAGATGAATTGGAAAAGTACAACTCCAACCATACTCTCTATCCACCTCCTAAAATAAGGAGATCTCTATGAGCTCCTAAATCTGGGAGAGGAAAAAGACTCTTAATGACTCCTTATAATTTAATATTGCTTTGTTTTATGCACATTTTAAACGTTTAATTAAATCAAATTGTTTTTTCATATTATTTTGTATACATATAGATCAATTATATTGAATTTAAAAATAATTAAAGTATTTATGACTCTCTAAATTAGGAGTATGATTGGAGTTTAAATTTTATAAAGAGTTCTCCTAAAATTGCTTTTGTGTGTTTATAGTTAAATTTTAGGGAGTTTCACTAAAACACCCAAAATGGGAGGCTACGCAATACTCATCACCTTAGCCGCCACCTGCACTCAAGACCAATATGTGTAGGCCAGGAGGCTACCCAATTTTAATATATATATATTAAAATTATTGCTCCTAGTGGACATTATTTTTTAGTTTTCAAGTCTCACATGGCGACCTAAAATTATTGCTCCTAGTTGGCTCTCCACCCCCTCATCATTCGCTATAAAATGGTGAAGCCAGTTGGTATTGTTACCATAAGAGCCAGCTCCAACTTTCTTTAATTTCTTGCTTCATATCCACTGGCTACATCTGTTGCCAAGTTAATTTCAGTCCTAATGGGGTTTCATCTCCCACTCATCTTTGCTCTTCTCAGTGTAAGCTCTGCAATTTGATTAACTTTTCCATTATCTCTCATTGTACTCTATATGAAGGAAAGTTTTGTGTTCCTATAATTCTCTCCGATCTTATGTAGTACGTAAGTGTCGTCCATTAATTAATTACACTTTGTGATTTGATTTTAATTAGAGTTCGAATTAATGTTGCAGCTAGCAGCGGTGGCACTGGCAAACCATGCTGCCCAACCAGCACCTCAACTTTACTGGAACTCCGTCCTGCCAAACACACAGATGCCAAGAACTATCAGTGAACTTCTGCATCCCGGTTTGTGTTGAGCACTTTAGAATCTTAGATATCTTTTCTACCTGCCATTTTACTAAAATTTGTGCGACCACATATTTATCAGTTAACTACTGTCATTACATGAGAGACACATATTCACAAATCGGCTGATCACTTATTTTCCATTATGACGTTGATATATAATTTGCAGACTCCACAAATGAAGAAAAGGGCAATGGAAAGGGCAAACCGGAAAGTTTCCCATTGGGCAATAAACATTACACTCAAAAAGGGTATGGAATCGGCAAACCTGAAACTTTCCCATTGGGCAATAAACATTACACTCAAAAACGGTATGGAATCGGCAAACCTGAAACTTACCCATTGGGCAATAAAGACTTAGCTATTTTCTTCTTGGAGAAGGACATGCGCCCTGGCACAACAATGAAGTTCCAATTCCCTAGAAATTTAAACACGGCTACTTTCCTGCCACGAGAAAGCGCTCAATCGATCCCCTTCTCCTCTAAGAAACTACCAGAAATTTTCAACCATTTTTCAGTGAAGCCAACATCTGAGGAAGCCAAAACAATTAAGCAAACAATCGAAGAGTGTGAAGCTCCAGGCCTCAAGGGAGAGGAAATATATTGCGCCACATCTTTAGAATCAATGGTTGATTTTAGCACTTCGAAGCTTGGAACAAGAAACGTTGAAGCAATCTCGACGGAGGTATTGGAAAAAGGAGCCACCATGTCCATCCACAACTATACAACAATGCCGGGACTGAAGAAGGTGGCAGGCGACAAAGTCGTTGTGTGTCATAAGCAGAACTATCCCTATGCTGTGTTTTTCTGCCATGCAATAAAACATACAGCAGCTTATGTTCTCTCCCTGAAAGGCGATGATGGGGAGAAGGTTAAAGCAGTAACCATCTGCCATCTAGACACATCAGAATGGAACCCAGAGCATTTGTCCTTCCAAATCCTCAACGTTAAGCCCGGAACCATTCCCATCTGCCATTTCATTTACACTGATGTTATTGCCTGGGTTCCGAACCACAAATAATCTGCATGATCATCACTTAGCACTGTACCTATAATAAGCTTGGTCGGGTTGCACCCCTGTATAATTATTTCCCTACTTATTTCTGCCTCTTTATCATGTGGTGTAAGATATATGATGAGATGAAGTTTTTGGGATTAGTGGTCGGGTTGCCTGAAAAACACAGATTATAGAAACTGCTTGAAATTAACCCGATCATGTTTTCTCTTGTAACTATATAGACTTCAACTTGTACTCATAATAAAGCATGCTGTTGTGGTTCTACTTAATTTCGTTCTCCACAATGTTTGAGTGTTGAATTGTTACGTGGGAAAACAACATATTTAGAGAAGCCTTCATTTATATCATAGTCCTCAAACTATAAAGAATTAATGTATCCAGAAACATACCAAGACGCAAAACAACATATTTTCCATGCTCTGTCTGTAACACCAAAGCAAACTTCCTTTATCACATCATTTAAAGCATCAAATTCCAGTACTAATCTAATCCATCATGTAAAGCATACAAGTGCCTCCCTAAATAGTATTTAAGTTTGCATGCTCATATAGCATATGCAAACACAATTAGAAATTCTACAACGGAAGCAAGATCAATCTCACTATAAAATACAAAGAACCCCCTCAACTTTGACCAGTGTGTCAATTTAGTTCTTGAAATTTAGATTACAAAGCAAATACCAAATCAAAACATACCATGAAACACAAGGAAAGGAATTTATAGAACAATATATATAGCAATTTATAGAACAATACATTAATCCAGAAGAAATATTATAAAATGAAAAGAATAAAAAGTAGAAAAACAGAAGGAAAGGAATTTGCATCTGCTCACTTGCAGATTGCTTTCTCCGGCCGTAGATGTAACAGAAATTTTCTCTTAATAATACCACAATGATCAGGTAATTGTAAGAACAAGTTGATTTAAAATTCCTTGACCAAAAAAAAAAAAAAAAAAAAAAAATTTTTAAAAATCAATTCAGTTCTCTCCGATCACTAATACAGATCAAAATTTGGATTTGATGAACTAAAGTGGTTTTACTTTCTTTGTCAGTGTTTGATGACTTAATTTGTTATTTACATTTTAAAAAAAAAAATTTAGGCGTAGGCTTAATTATGAAAGTGCTGCCCCAAGCTCATCTTAATAGCAGAGTTTTAAATTGGGCTTTTCATGAATATGCCCATTTTAATATGACATATTATCTATATATATAAAGCAAAAGGCAGAGAATGGTTAAACATTCAAAATACCAGAAAATGTCATTAGTTAATTCAAACATTATGAATTAAATAAAGATAATATGGTAAATTCACACTTTTTCATATTAGAAAAATTAAAATTAAAAGAAAAATCAAATAATTAATCCTATTTTTATGGAACACAACTATCCATTATATTTTTTAATTCCAAAATAAATTTAAATTTTTTTAAAAAAAAGCCTCTCACATCAAATTCCTATATGTAACAACAAATTGCTTTAATAAAGATAATTAAAAAAAAGTGTGATTCATTGAATATTTGTGGGGTTCGAAAAGTTCTAAGTCAACACATCAAATTTCAAATTCAAAAAGTTTTTTTCCTTTTACACCATCAAATTCAAAAAGTTTTATTTGCGGGGTTTTACTGATTCATTTTTAAAGGGCTGATAAGCAACCGTCCACGTACCCCAATAATTTAAAAGGGTTGATGATCTTTAATTTGGTGAAAGCTTCTATCTACCTACCGTGCTATATATGAGCTATGCAATCGTGACGGTGTTACATGTCGTAGGGATAAAAAAATATACAAAATTCCACAATGAGCATTGAGCTCCATGATCATTACTGGCCTGGTCGACAGTGCCTGCCAGGGATGTGGAACAACAAATTGCTTTAATAAAGATAATTAAAAAAAAGTGTGATTCATTGAATATTTGTGGGGTTCGAAAAGTTCTAAGTCAACACATCAAATTCCTTTTACATCATCAAATTCAAAAAGTTTTTTTCCTTTTACACCATCAAATTCAAAAAGTTTTATTTGCGGGGTTTTACTGATCATTTTACCCCAATAATTTAAAAGGGCTGATGATCTTTAATTTGGTGAAAGCTTCTATCTACCTACCGTGCTATATATCGTGACGGTGTTACATGACGTCACAATGTCGTAGGGATTAAAAAATATACAAAATTCCACAATGAGCATTGAGCTCCATGATCATTACATCAACGACTACGTCTTCGTCATGGACCGCCTGGTCGACAGTGCCAGGGATGTGGAATTGCTTGTGAAGAGTGAAATTCTTGAATCTAAGCTACCGGACAGCGAGGCAGCAGCGGAATTTATTAATTCTCTTGCTCATGTACGTGTTTATCTAAAGTTAAATAAGAGTGATTGACTGGTAGTCTGTTAGTTTGTTTTTCTGGGGTTTTCCCCCCTGTTCGTCAAAACAAAGAAAAAAAGAAAAGTAAAGGAGTGAGTGTTTGTGCCTATGAAAATTACTTTGAAGTATGCTCCACAGAGCACTGCAACAGCAAGCAAGCCCTTCCTTACCCATGGCCAGGCAAACCCAAAAATAGTTCTTTAATGTGAACCAAAAGAAATAAACTAGGGAAGTGGATATAAATGAGCGATTCAAACTCTCAGTGCCAAGGGTTACCCCTGATACATTTGTTAAAAATTATATATTTGGTCTTACATCAAACAAATAATTTGAATATCACCACCACTCACACAAACGAACTATAAGAAAACAATAGGCACAACATTGGTTCAATCGATCTCTAAAATACTTGAACATTAAGTTAAGTAACATAGACAACAGAGCAGACAGACTGTATGTATGAGAACAGCAGCTGCAATGACATAAAATAGTTGCCAAGGTGTGTTCAAATATAGTCTTGCTTCAAAATCACCTTCCATTTGTTCCGCCGCTTGTTGCAGTAGTAGTTGCCGTAGTCCGTCCATATGTAGTGAAACCTGGTTAATTGATAAGTTAACAAAACAAATTATATATATACTAAAACTGAGTTCACAATTCACTGTTCCTAAGCTGTTCATTAGGAATAGTGAAATGACGTTTGTGCCCCTACTTAACCGTTGTTTTCAGTTTTGTTTTCTCTTCATCGCAGTGAATTGTCGAAAATACCCTCCACTTAACCTTTTTTGCTCTTCCCTTTTTGCCCCTTCTCCTTCTGTCTTTCTTTTCCTGCGAACGTTTCGTTCCCTCAGAGAAGGAGTTCATCTCCACTTGATTTCGAACTAGCTGGTTAGCCTGGTTGGGGGACAGAGATGGAAGATTTGCATTCACTGTTGGAGATGCTTTGGCAGCCGTTGATTTTCGTTTGGGGAGGCGAGTTGCGAATCTAGCCGGCCTTTTGATCTTCGTTTCATGGATTTATCTGTTCGTTGTGATATCATCGTTTCTACAACCTTCATCTCAGCATCTTCTATCTCTCTTGGCTGCGAATTCTTGCATCCTTTGTCTTCGGGTATGCATCCCCTCACCTTTTTAGCACATCTTTTGGTCTTTATTTCATTAATTAACATACATATGTTGAGAATTGAAATTTTTTGAGTTTGGCAGAGAATTGAAATTCTTTGAGTTTAGCAGAGAATTTCCAAATCTTTGATGACAACGACCATGTAAATATAGTTCTTTTGTGATTTTGATTGTTTAAGGTGACTTTTGATTGCTTAGGCAGGTTTTGAAAAAAAAAGATTAAACTTGATGAATATTTCAATTGTTGGTTATATTTATTATTTGGTTTCTCTTTTGATCTTCCTTTTTAATCATTTTTGTTGATTGATATAGTGATTTTTTTTCTTTTCTTTTTAAATAATTGTTTTGGGTTGTGTTTGATTTATGTATGCTCAAAAGAATTGCCCCCAGTAGAGAGATAAATTAGACAAATTTGGGGGAGAGATAGATTTGATGAACCAAGATAAAGATATTCTGTGTGACTATGAACGGCATGCAAGATATAATTTAAGGCCTGCATTTAGTGTAGGACATTCTATTACTATAACTGAATCAGAGACAAACACTTCAAGCTTTAGAATTAACATATGGCTTTCTTCTTATGTACTTCAGTGTTAGCTGTAAAAATTACCCAATGTTTGAGTGTTGAAATGTTACGTTGGAATAGGCTGCTAATGCATGTAGTTAGAGAAGCCTTCATTTATATCAAAGTCCTCAAACTATCAAGAACTAATGTATCCAGAAACATATACCAAGACGCAAAACAACATATTTTCCATGCTCTGTCTGTAACACCAAAGCAAACTTCCTTTATCACATCATTTAAAGCATCAAATTCCAGTACTAATCTAATCCATCATGTAAAGCATACAATCTACAAGTGCCTCCCTAAATTTGATCATTGGATATAAAGTCCCCCTAACTTGATCCAATTTTGTGGTGGAGGGAGCACCACGTAATGGGCATGGCATTTTAAGTCTAAATTCTATGTTACATAAATTTGAGAGAACCATAAATATATAACCTAAAGTAGCACCACGTAGTACCACTTGGCACTGACAGCTTGGTACTACGGACTAATGATAAATTCTATGTTACATAAATTTGAATTAATGAGTTTCCCTTTGTTTTGTTTTTGGTCCAAAATACTATACTATTTAAGTTTGCAAACTCATACAGCATATGCAAACACAATTAGAAATTCTACAACAGAAGCAAGATCAATCTCATATAGGCCTTCTAAACAAACAAACAAATAAAACAAGCATATTAATTGCTTTAATCACTCATTACACTTAGTTTACTAACAGATGATACAGAAAGGAAAAAAAAGGACCAATGGAGAGAAAATGGTGAACTAAGGAGAGACTAATACTTCTGGTTCTTAGAAGGCATAACAGAAATAATAGAGCACACTGCTTGAATGCAAGTCAGTATTAGGAGAAAAACAGCTGCAATGACAGAAATAGTTGCCCAAGGCGTATTGAAATAATTTTGCCTCAAATTTGCCTTCCTTTTGTGCCAAGGCTTTCTGCAGTAGCCATTGAGGCGCTCAGAAAGAGTAGCAAAGTGGTAGCGTTTAGGATGAAAAGCAACTCCTCTTCCGAGGTTGTTAATCAGAGTGCACACCTTATTGTCATCACCAAGCATATGTTCGACAATCCTATACTTCAGAAGGTACTCCACATCCTTTTCGGTGTTCACAAAGTTATCCATGAGTGAAACATAATCACTTACGTAATTGTTATGGCAATGGCACTGTTCAAAGACAATGAGGTTTCGGAATGTGAGCTCCGTGTGATCGTCTATTTTTAGTTTTGGAATTTCTAGAATCCCATCCTTGAATTTTATATCGAATAAGTTTCTGCTTGATCCCAACTTAAACTTGACCCCAGCCTGGTGTAGTTTCGTAATGCAGGGTGTAGTGCTTGGCCCTTCATTGCTTTGATCTGATTCGTCCAATATTGGAAGATGTAAAGTTCTTATAAGTTTCGTAATGTAGTGCTTGGCCCTTCATTGCTTTGATCTGATTCGTCCAATATTGGAAGATGTAAAGTTCTTATAAGTTTCGTAATGCAGGGTGTAGTGCTTGGCCCTTCATTGCTTTGATATGGTTCCTTCAATTTTGGAAGATGTAAATTTCTTATAAAATCAAGAAGATGTTCAACTTTAGGGTAACGACGAGGAGAAGAAATTATCTGCAAACTGTATTCTTCCCCCTCTAAATCAATGTTTTGAAAGGCGAGGCGTAGATACAAAGCGTTTTTATCCGCTCTATGCGAGGCGTAAGCCTTGAAGCGTTGAGGCGTAAGCCTTTTGAACATTAATTTATTCTAATACACAATTAAATTATACTACTAATTATTATTGAACCTTGATATAATGTATTAAGTATAATCAAATATAAGTACTAATGGTCTCATTCATGCATAATAATCAATCCCTAAATCTAAAATATTTATTCAACATAAAAACAAAAACACAATTCAGTTTATATATTAGGGTTATACTATAAATAAATATATATATATATATATCCACGTTAATATATTAATTTAGGAAGAAAAAAAAAAGGGTAAGTAGTGGTGTTTCAGTGAAAAAGGGTTAGTGGTGTTTCAGTGGAGGCGTTAAGCATGTTGGTTGTTAAAAACAAAAATCATGATTTAAAAATAATAAAAAAAGGCATGCTGAACGTCAGTTTCTTTAAATAACCTCAGTGCTAAACGTGCGTTTTATTAACTATATGAAACGAAGTCGTTTCATTGCCAACGAACCCTTAAAAAACACGCTTGGTCATCTTCTTCCTCTCGCAGCCGCTTGCAGAACAGCGGCCCTTCGTCCGCCTCGCCACACGTTGCCACGCTTCGCCACGCCTCTCCACGCCTCGCGGCGCTAAACGTGCAACCTGCTAAATAGATGAACGCTTCAGGCGATTTCCTTCCGCCTCGCTCCGACGCGCGCTCCGAAGCGCGCTTAGGCATGCCTTTGAAAACACTGCTCTAAATACAGTGCCGCTTTCAAGAATTTGTAAGAGAGATCAATCATTGAAAGCTCCGAACTGTAAGAAACTGTAATTTTGTTAAAAAGATCCTCAAGAATGAAAAATGGCAGTTGATTTTCAAGCAATTGCAAGTCAGGCAATAGATCTCGAAGCATCCTTGGTTTGTTAAATATGCGGTCATCTTTATGTCCCGATGCTACATGACCACAAGCTCTCAACAAGAGCTCAATGATGAAGGCGGCATCCACTAGAATGATTCTTACAAATTTGTCACTGCTGAACTTAATGGTTTCTGAATAACAACTTCTTAATTGTTCTTCTTTATCCCTTGTGATCTTTGTAAATTCCGTCAAGCTTGCAGCTGTCCGACGTAGAAAATCTTGTAGGTACCTTTTTTTGTGCTCTTCCATGGCTTTTAAGGCTTTCTTGCCATGGTGGAGTGGACCTATAGAGATTACCTGAGGTGTGTATGCCTTTTCATTTACACATCGTAGTCGCTTAGGAACTTTGTAAATACAACACGAAGAGGATAGAGGAGATAAGCTATCCAATTCCCTTCTCATGGAAGTTTCTAATGGATTTTCAATGTCAACTGGAGCAGCTTGATTGCTTCCTTCCATTTTCCTCTTGATGGCTTTTGTGATTTTATTAGATGACGATGATGCTTATGTATTTCTGGCAGAACAACAAATCTTTCAACATTAAAACTCCAAGATGCTAAATTAAACGTTAAAATAAATAAACATATGGTTATCTACAGTACTTCTTTGATCTAAATAGTCTATCTTTTATCTTCTTTGATCCTGGATGTTTCTTATATACTGTGGATGTCTTGATATATAGAATCTCCCATAGTAGGAATCCTAAATCTTGCACCGAAAATATATAAGATCCTAGATTGTGAATTAATTTGGGTTGGACGCTATACTACCAAAGCGCAGAGAATTCATGTGTCAAGCTCAAATAGAATTGATCGGTCCGCGGATTTAACTCACTCCCGCAACTCCATATATAACAAACTAAAGCTTCAAGAAAAAGGGTGCACAAAAATAGCAATTAGAAGTATGGAACCGAAAAAAATTATTAACTCAAAACTTAAAAGAGATGGAAGTGATTAAAACACACCTCCAAAGCTTCTTTTGCCTCTGATAGCTGACTGGAAAAGTTCAATGCAGATAGTTTGAGGTAGAACTTTCTCCTATTAATAGCACAATGATGAGCTATTGTTTGGGGGTGATAGAAACCCACCTAACCCGGGCACGAGAATTGGCCGGGCGCGAGAATTAGCTGGGCACGGGTGAAACGGGGCAGCTGGGTTTCGGAGTCCCTGGGCTTTCGAAAATGCGTCCGGGGCTCGTTAGATTGGGGCTTCGAGGGCTTGCTAGATTGGAGCGGCCGACTGTGTCGAATGATGGTGGCGGCTGTAGTTGTTTTCCTAGCAAGTTGGGCAGTTCGAGTGGAGTTGAAAATCTCAACCGGGATTGGAGAAATTCGCGGCCGGAGGTCCTCAAAGGAGGTGCGGCCGAGGATTGTGGATGAGTGAATTGTTGCCCGGTTTTTTGGACTGGAAGCTCTTTGTGGCTGGGGCCTTTGTCGGTCTCCAAAGTTAGGGCTGGAGTATCTGGGCTCTTTAGAAATCGGGCGGAAGAGTTTGCAAATATGCGGCCGGGCTGTTGAGATGGTGCGGTAGGAGGTGCTGGAGAAATTGGGAAATCTCGGCCGGGTCTCCAAGGAACCTCGTGGCGGCCGAGAATGTTGGAGCTGTTGGAAATATCGGCCGGGCTCTATGTCAAAGTGAGGCTGGATTGCGGCCGAAACATGGGAAGCCAAGATGCGACCGCAAGGAAAACCAAGATATGGCAGGTTGGGCCTTAGGATTTCCTGTGCGACTGGAGCTATGGGAATTTTTGGGCGCACAAATGTGACTGGGCTCTGCAAATTGTAACTTCCTTGCCTTATAATATATAATATATATATATATGTGAGTGAATATCACACATGCAGCCGAAAGTTTGAGGGAGTGGTGGCCGACTTGTGTTTGGTTTAAATGTTAGAATTATTGCCTTCAGTCTGTAGGGTTTGAGAGTTTAAATTATATATATATATAATATATATATTACACATATGGGCCCTTTGAGTATTGAAGTCGCCAAGCATGAATTCTAGCATGCATGTTTCTATGCATAGTGGCTGGGCCAGTAGTTTGGATTGTTGATTCGTATAATATTTATATATATATATATATATATGAAAATAAGAATTGGATCAAGTTCCTCAGCAGACTAATTCTAGAGCTTCAGAAATCTAAAGATCACGAAGGGCACCCTCAAATTATGCCAAGAGATTAAAGGTTTTAGCTCAAGCCACCAATTTCAAGCCCAAGATTTTCGGAAGATTATGTGCACATGACGGAGGGCCTCACAAGGAAAGAAATCAAGGAATGACTCCGAATGATCCAAAACAAGGAAGAATCAAGCATGTCAGAATATCTCCTTCAATACAATCTCACGAATTTAGGAGGGCTTCGAAAGGAATGATTTTTAAGAAGAGTTGACATTTGGCCATTCAATGGCCAGCCCATGGGCTGACGAGTGCCCTATATAAACCTTGCTCCATGAAGACATCAGACACAACATCAGACAAACAAACCTATCTTTCGTCTCGCACTTTTCTTTTCCTAGACTTAGGATTTTATTTTTCAAGCACCTAGTGTAGTGAGTTCTTCATATTTCTAGTGTAAGTTTATATTTTCCTTGTCATTTAAATTCTCGTTCAATTTATATTTCTTGTCATTTCAATTCAAGTTTATTTTGATTCCTTTACATTTAATTGTTATCGCACTTCGATTAAATTTAACTTCAAGTTTATTTCTTTTTCGTTCTTATCGTTCTTATCGCTTTTATTTTATTCTTGCTTTATCTATCGCTTTGATTTATTTTATCGCCTTTCAATTCTTGTCTTTACGTTTATATGCATATTTAGTTTAATTGCATTATTTTTACTTAAACCATAAAAACCACAAAAAACATCCATACGAAACCTAACCATTCTCGAGCCCGAGAAAGTGAAAGAATCTAGGCCAAGAAGAGGTTCCTTGCTTGGCCGATCAATCGTTTGGTCAGAAGTTAGAAGCGCAACACATCCATCTATTCTCATTCCACTCAAGCCCAATTTCGGGGCTTGGTGGTGGCACGCCCCGCATCCAAAAGAAGAAGGACCAAAAGTTCCTTCCATCGGCCGCCCCGGCCGAAAAGAGGGTAACATAATTTGGCACGCCCAGTGGGACCACTAGGTTTTGTATGGTCGTAAACACTAGGAGGAATCCTAGAAGAGATCAAGAATTTGAAGAATCTAGACTTCGGTCGGAATCAGAGACAAGCATGGCTGGTTCATTCCCTACAAATACTCAGCCACAAAATGTTCCGGCCACTCAACAAGAGCAAAATGGCCCCGGCCGAAACACGGCCGTCGGCCATGATCAAGTGGTAGTCGAAGACATTACGGAAGTCGCCGGGGGACCAGTATTGAGGCCGAATCCGGCCACTTCATTGGAACTCCAACAACTCATGCGAGTCATGGAGACAATGGCCCAAACAATGGCCACTCAAAATGCTCAGATCAACGAGAGATTTGATCGATGGTTAGGCCAACAAAATGGCCAAAATGGAAACCAAGGGGCGCCAATTGGAGCACCAGCGGTTGGGCCACAAGTGGAGGCCCAACCAAATGGTTTTGGAGTGAATCCGCCCCAACTTAATCCACCAGCTGGGGCCAACCAAGCCCCAGTGGTTAATATTCCGCCGATGGGCAACAACCCATATGCGGCGGTCAACCAATTTCAAGTGTTCCCGCCATATAATCAATTCCGCCCACAAGCTCACCAAGCGGCTGGGGCCAATTTCGCTGGGCCTCATATCAACCAATTCGGAGTCGGTGGTTGGAATAACCCCGGCGGGAATGCTAACAACCCATTGCTAGGGAATCAAGCAATCGACCGAGGTGCGGTCGAACAAATGATTCAAGATATGGTGCCCCATGCTAGGAGGATTGGTAGGCCGGTTTATCGGCGACCATATCCGGAGCACTTTGATCAAGAGGAGTTTCCAAGGGGTTTCAAGGTTCCGGATTTTGCACTATTTTCGGGAGATGGGCTCCAATCGACCGTTGAACACATTGGCCGATTCACGGCCCAATGCGCGGAGATTGGGCATCGCGAGGCCTTGAAACTAAGGCTATTTCCGAGTACCCTTACGGGGGCAGCTTTTTCATGGTATGTTAAGCTTCCACAAAATTCCGTCCCTAATTGGCAAGTTATGGAGCAAGTCTTCCACGAGCAATTCTATCGACCGGAGCCGGAAGTCTCAATGGCCGACTTGGCAAAGATAAGCCAGAAGCCAAGTGAGTCGGTCCAAGAATATTTGGGGCGGTTTAGAGAAGCAAGGGCTAGGTGTACGGTCAATATGCCAGAGCACGAGTTTGCAAAATTGGCCCAAGGAGGATTGTTGCTTGATCTCCGAAAGAAATTCGAAGGAATTGAGTTCCGCGACATTTATGATCTCTTACTTCGGGTGGATCGATACGAAGCCCTTCTGAAGGAGGAGCAACAAAAAGGGCGGCCGGCACCCCGGCCGACATTTTATAGGGATTCAACTAAACCTTCCGGGTCTAGGACTACGGCGGTCCACGCAATAGACATTGGAGATATAGACTCAGAAGAAAGAGGTGATGAAGTTTACTTAGAGGAAGAAGAGTCGGCTGAGGTAAACTTGGCCGAGATTGTGGCCAAAGGGCCATATGTGTGCAAGGCTTTGTCTAAAGCCTCTAAGGATCAAAGGCCGACCACGGCCCAAATGTCCAAGTTTAGTGGAACCTCCCAAAAGGCGGTCGTGACTAAGTCCTACACATTTGATATTTCTAAAGCCGAACAAATTTTCGACCAACTTTTGAAAGAAAAGATCATAAAATTATCTAATGATCATGATATTCCGTCGGCTAATGAACTTAGAAATAAAACTTATTGCAAGTTTCACAATGTATGGTCTCATACGACTAACAATTGCTTGGTTTTTCGGAATGCCGTGCAGGATCTCATCGATCGAAAGATCTTGAAGTTTCCGGAGAAAACTACAATGGGCGTCGACAAGGATCCTTTCCCAAATGCTCAAGTCAACATGGTGAATGCTAACTTCCCAAGGCCAGACCAACCTAGGCCTAGGTTGGACTTGGGTGGCTCAGCAAGGGCTGCGGCAGAAAGAAGGGCAAGGGAAATTCCGGCGGATCCTAAGGCGAAGGGCAAGGCTAAAATGTACCCTGAGATGGCCAAAGTTCCCGAGACAAAAGGTTCGACCAAGGAAGAACCTCCAAAGGCCATTGTGCTATGTAGTCGATGCCAATGTGAGGTGATTCTCGAAGTGGTTTCGCCAAAGCCCAAAGAGCCAACCAAGGATCAAGTCCAAGTGGGCAGATCTAGGAGTTTTGAAAAGAAGATGATAACAAGTCCGGCCGAGAATTACGGCCCACATAGCCCAAGGGGCGAAATGGAAGGGAGGCCGAACAAACGGCCATTGCATGAGTACCAAGATAGGTACGAGAAGCCGAGGTATCAGCCGAAGAGGAGAAATCAACATGCCCCTCTAAGATATGAAGACATTGATTCGCCCGATTCAAGCCAAAATCGAAGCATGTGGATTTCGGTGGAAGAAGGCAAAAGCCGAGATGTGGCATATGTATCAAGACCCCGCCCCGCGGACGGTAATGGTGTCCCAACTTTCAAGGTGCCAAACACAAAGGCGGGCCAATGGTATAGAAGTAGAGGCCCAAAACTTCCACCGGTGCCTCTGAGCAAAACTCAAACGAGAAGGGCTCAAAGACAATATGCCACCACTTGCAAGGCGGAGTTAGATTGGGCGGATAAAAGGCAAGCTCAACTTGATCGATTGGTCGAGCTTCGAGAGAAACTTCGATTGGAGGAGTTGGAATTGGCCAAGGCCGATGCCGTCGCTTCTTTAGAGGCCGCCGCGGCCGAGGAGATGAAAATACGTCGAGAATGGGTGAATGGCCGAGTTGTGGTAACGGCCCCGGAAGAGCCAATCTCGGAATTAGAGGCCCATTTGACTGGGGCTTTTGAGGCAAATAACTCTAAAGTGGAAGTTAGTGAACCGACCAAGAGGAGAGAAGATAAACCTCTCAAGGTTCAAAAGGCAAGGGCGGCTCCACCAAAAGCCAAGCCTCCAATCGCCAAGGCCCTGGCCATGACCAAATTGGCTCAGCCCACCAAGGTTGAGAGCAAAGAGGAAAGGACCAAAACATGGTCCAAGAAGCTGGGGATGTGCCCCATAAAATAGTAAGCGAGCCTAGGGCGGAAGAAGACCAAATTATGGTCGATGTTGAAACTAATGTGGTAGAAGAAAAGGCCGAGCACACGGCCGAGGAAGAAGCTAAGGAGCCATTGGAAAATCCCGAAGGTTCGACGGCCGAAGACGAAGAGATATATGGGGAAGATGAGGAGTATGCGGACGATGAATACTTAGAGGATCTGTCGGAGGAAGCTATGGAACACTTAGAGAAAGAACGGAATGAAGAGATGGCCAAGTTTGAGAATGAGCTAAAAGTGGGCAAGGTCAAAGTAAAGTTTGGAGACTTTGACGAGGTAAATGCCATGGTTGTTACACTTCCACTATTTTTCGAAGCTCGGCCGGATCAACCTAATTTATGGACGGGGATGTGTTCGATGAGGTTGAGTCCATGGTCCCAAATGGAAGGGGCCAAAGAAATTGAGATGGCCCTAGAAACTCCGAAGGAAGGGAATGCCCAACCTTGCATCATGGTGCCCGAAAAGGAGGAAAAAGTGCCCGAGAAGGTGTGCTATGACATGCCCACCAAGAAAATGTCCTCCCACCTTAAGCCCTTGTATGTGGGGAGCTCATTTCGATGGAGTTCCGGTGAGTAAAGTCCTTGTGGATATGGGGGCTACGGTCAACATCCTACCAGCCTCAATCATGAGGAAATTGAAGAAAGGCTCAGATGAGTTAATCCCGACCGAGACAACGGTCAGCGGGTTCGTGGGAGACACCACGACTTCAAAGGGAATTCTCCCACTCCAAGTTAGAGTGGGGCAAAAAGTTAGAATGACTGCCTTCTTTGTGGTGGAGACAACGGCCCATTTCAATGCTTTGTTGGGCCGAGATTGGATCCATGGAAGCATGTGTGTGCCCTCTTCACTTCATCAATTCTTACAATTTTGGCACGAGGATGGAAGTGTAGAGATTGTTCAGGCCGATGTACGGCCCTTTATGGCTTCCGCCAATGCGGTAGAGGCAAAGTTTTATGAAGATGACATCGGGCCCCTTTATTTTACGGGGTCAGATAAGAACGGCCGACCTACGGGAGTCTCGGCCCAAAAGTTGATAGACTTGGGGGCACATGATGCCCAAGCGGATGGGGAGCGTCCCACTATAGCTGATTTTTTCTCCCTCAATGAATGATACAAACATAGAGGGAGAGAAGAGGGCCGCGGTGGAGGACACTTTGAGACGGCTATATGGTTTTTTGGGCCGAAAGAGCGGCTGAGCATGGGTCCACCGCCAATTTGGTGGAATTTCTTCATGAAGGCCCGGAGGATGATGCACTTGAGCTCGAAGAGGTAGAGTTGGCACCAAGCGAGATGGATGATTCGAAGGCGGAAGTCCAAGACCCTTTGTTAGAAATCAACTTGGGGACGAAAGACAACCATCGACCAATCTACATCAGTGGTCTAATGGAGCCAGAACTTCGGGCCAAGATGGAAGAGCTTTTGAGAGAATTCAAGGATTGCTTCGCTTGGGATTACACCGAGATGCCCGGATTGAGTCGTGACTTGGTCGAGCACCGCCTACCAACGGTGGAAGATTTCAAGCCCTTCAAGCAGCCGCCCCGCCGGATGTCGGCGGAAGTAGAATTACAGGTTAAGGAGGAATTGTAAGGCTTGTAAAAGCCAAATTTATTAGGCCAGCTAGATATGTAGAATGGCTTTCAAATATTGTACCTGTAAAGAAAAAAACGGGAGCAATAAGAATATGTGTTGATTTCCGCAATCTTAATCTTGCAACTCCCAAAGATGAATATCCCATGCCCATGGCCGACCTCTTAGTCGATGGGGCGGCCAAGCATGAAATTTTATCATTATGGATGGGCACTCTGGCTATAACCAAATTTTTATAGCCGAGGAGGATGTCCACAAGACAGCCTTCAGGTGCCCCGGATCCATTGGAACTTTTGAGTATGTGGTGATGCCTTTCGGCCTAAAAAAATGCCGGGGCCACATATCAGCGGGCAATGAACTCTATTTTCCATGACATGATCGGTCGAAATTTAGAAGTTTACATCGATGATGTTGTTATAAAATCGGAGTCTAGACCAGGCCACTTGGATGACCTCCGGTCGGCTTTTGAAAGAATGCGGCGGCATCAATTGAAAAATGAACCCAAAAAAGTGTGCTTTTGGAGTATCCGCCGGGAATTTCTTAGGATTCTTGGTGCACCAAAGGGGGATTGAGATTGATAAAATAAGGCGAAGGCATCATTAACGCACCCCCTCCAAAAAAACAAGAAAGGTGTGCAAAGTTTATTAGGCCAAATTAACTTCCTTCGAAGGTTTATAGCCAACTCCGCGGGGAAAGTTGAGCCTTTCTCATCTTTGCTAAAGCTCAAAGATGAAGAGAAATTTCGGTGGGAAGAGACTCACCAAAGGGCATTTGACGCCATTAAAGAATATTTGGCCAAGCCTCCGTGCTCATTCCACCAAAGCGGGGCCGACCTTTGAAACTATATATATCGGCCGCGGGAAAACTCAATCGGAAGTCTACTAGCCCAAGACAATGATGAGAAGAAAGAACAAGCGGTATACTACCTCAGCCGAATTCTAACGGCCACCGAGAGGAAATATTCTCCGGTGGAGAAACTTTGCTTGGCCTTGTATTTTACTGCGACCAAGTTAAGGCATTACATGTTGCCCTCCGTGGTGCATATAATCGCCAAGACTGATTTGATAAATATATGCTCACCCGCCCAATCATTAGAGGGCGAATAGGAAAATGGACAATGGCATTGGCGGAATTCACTTTCCGATATGTACCCCAGCAGGCCGTTAAGGGGCAAGCTTTGGCCGATTTCTTGGCGGCCCACCCTTGTGTTGAAATAGAGGAGATGGATTTCCTCGAGGTGGGCACATTGAGTTTATTTCCATGGCGCCTTTATTTTGACGGGTCTCGAACATTTAACATGGGCGGGGCAGGTGTCATCATTGAAACGCCCAAAGGATTCCGAACTCGTTACTCTTTTCAATTGGACTTTGATTGTACCAACAATCAGGCCGAATATGGCCCTAATCATAGGGTTGGAAATTTTGAAAGAGCTTGGGGTAAAAAGTGTGGCGGTCATGGGAGACTCAATGCTAGTCTTAAAACAATTGTCTGGCGAGTACAAGGTGACTAGCCAAGCTTTGCTTGGATATCATGCGTTGGCCAGCCAATTAATGGAAGATTTCGATGATGTGAGACTCGCCCACTTACCGAGAGAACATAACACTCAGGCCAACGCCATGGGCCCAATTAGCATCCGGTGTGGAGATCTCCGAAGGGCTCTCTGAGGAGCTTTTTAAAGTTGAGAAGAGGTCTCTCTCCTCCGTCTTTGAAAGAGGGGTTCCAGCAGAAGTTATGGTGTTAACCATAGCACCGGAGGATTGGAGGCACGACATTGTGCAATATTTGAAAAATCCAAATGGGTCATATAGCCAACAAATTCGGCGGAGGGCCCAATATTATGTGGTAAGGGATGAAGTATTGTTCCGCATAGGTTCCGATGACTTGCTCATGAAATGTTTGGGCAAAAAAGAACAACTCGTAGCAATGACCGAGGTCCACGAGGGGATATGCGGTGCTCATCAAGCTGGCATCAAGATGAGGTGGCTTTTAAGAAGGCACGGTTATTATTGGCCGACTATCCTCAAAGATTGCATTGAGTATGCCAAGGGTTGCAAAGATTGTCAAAGGCATGGGCCGATCCAACATGTCCCGGCCGGACCAATGAATCCCATTGTCAAGGCTTGGCCTTTCAAAGGTTGGGCAATGGATGTGATTGGCCAAATATACCCAAAGTCATCTAAAGGCCATAAGTATATTAGTGGCCACCGATTTTTTCACAAAGTGGGTGGAGGCCGTCCCACTCAAACAAGTTACTCAAGTCGAGGTGATAGAATTCATTGAGAAATATCATCCATCGATTTGGCTTGCCCGAGTCCATCATGACTGACCGAGGAACGGCGTTCATGGGCGAGGCTGTTCAAGCCGCCGCAAGAAATTGGGGAATTAGGATGGTTCAATCCACCCCATACAATCCCCAATCAAATGGCCAAGCGGAGGCTAGTAATAAGGTGATAAAAGGGATTTTGGAAAAAATGATTGATAAAAATCCCAAGGAATGGCACTCTCTTCTTTCCAACTCTCTATGGGCGTATAGAACCTCGAAAAGGTCTGCCACGCAAACAACGCCATTCGCCCTCACCTATGGCCATGACGCCGTCTTGCCACTTGAGATTTCGGTTAAGTCCTTAAGGGTGGTTCGCCATGCCGAATGGAGTGAGGACGAATACGGGCAAGCCATGGCACAAGAGTTAGATGACCTTGACGAGGTCAGATTGGGTGCTTTAGATAGATTGAAGGCCCAAAAAGAGGCCGTGGCTCGAGCATACGATAAGAAGACTAAGGCCAAGAGTTTTGGGGTTGGAGATTTAGTATGGAAGACCATTCTTCCGGTGGGATCAAAGGATCCAAAATTTGGCAAGTGGTCTCCAACTTGGGAAGGCCCATTTCTCGTCCACCAAGTGTTAGGAAAGGGGGCGTACAAGTTAAGTGACCAAAATGGTCGGGTCCATGATGCGCCGATCAATGGTCGATTTTTGAAAAAATATTACCCAACGGTTTGGGAAATGGCGGAGAGATAATCTGCCATGAAGAAAAGATATCACATATATATATAGGTGGGCAAAAGTCTACAACAAAATGGGGCCAAATAATGGCCTAGATATCCACCAAAGGTTCAAGAAATAATAACTAAGCTAGTTCTACCCACATATGGTGACCAAAGAGAAAAGGAAACTAGCTAAGTACAAAATGGGCCAACCAATGGCCAAGTATGAACCTAAGCATCGGGGGAAAGGGTGCGGAGGGCAGCCCTAAAGCTCTCCATCGCGGTATCTCCGGCGGACAAGGTAGACTGAATCATCAACTTCCTTTCTCGATATGCTCCCGCCGCTGCTGCATCCTGTCGAAGTTGAGCCTCGAGAGGCCTATTGCTCCGGACAATCTCGGAGACTTTGGCAACAATGCCAGCCTTCCTTTCTTGGAGCTGCCTCACCTGCTCATCGATATCCGCAGCCTCCTGCTGCATTTGGCGGGCGATCTCGATCTCCCTCCTCATGGTGGCACTACATGAGGTAATCCGCTGCTCCAAGTCTTGGCCTATCCTTTGCTCCTCCAGAAAAGGACGGCGGCGGGGGGCAAATCTCTCCACCTGACCAAAGAGATGAGTAATCATAGCCGCCGAGCGTGGATCAGGGAAAAAGCCAGAACTCGCCAAAGTCTCAATGGCGGCCTTGAGCTTGCTTCTCTCATCTTTGTCCTCCAAGGACATGAAGTCTCCATCTCTGTATGACCGAAGTATGGCCTCAGCCCCGGAATCTGGTAGGGCCCCGGTCGATGTAGAAGAAGTGGCAAGGCGAGTGGAAGCCTCCGCGGAAGATATAGATGCATCCCACTGATCTAGGAAGTCAAAAATGTCACCAGATGGCTGCAAGAAAAATGGGCATTATATTTCAAGAAAGGGAAATAAATTGCATATGTGCATATGTATGTATTTCTTGTTTCATACCTGATCAGGGGAAGGTTGAGGGGCCTCTTCATGGGGGACCGTGGCCAAGTTTCCTCCATCCTCCGCCGATGGGATCCATGGTAATCTCGGTGGGCACAAAGGATGAAGACTCACCAATCTAGCAAAACGATATAAGGATTACAATAATGGCCTATTTATTTGAAATAAACAAGAAAATTCGGGGCATACCTCAAGTTGGAGTTCAGACGGAATAGCATCGACAACCAAGGTAGGAGCCCCAAAGTCGACATAAGGATGGCTCAGGTGGTGCACTTTCGTCGGTGGGAATAGTGGGAGGCACACCATTGGCAACGATCGCATGGTCGACCGTAATGGCGGTAGACCCCACCACATCCGCCTAAAAAAGGAGGGTGTGAGCTCTCTAACAAACATAAAGTTTTGAAAAAAACATTTAAGGGAGAGTAAGATCACCTGAAAAGTTGGGCTACTTTGGGGCGCCTCGAGAAGGCGGGTCAAGGTAGAGCCCGAACTTGTGGCAAAGAGGGGCTGAAATTCGGCCTCAGTGGCCATGGCATCGGCCGAAGAAAGGTTGGGGCCAAAAATGGCCCGCTAACATGTGCAAACATTGAAAATAAGAAATTGGGGGCAAGTGTATAAGAAATTTTAAAAGTATGAAATTTCAATGAACCTGAGAATTCGGAACATGTGGAAAGTCTTCCTCGGTCAGCTCGGCCACGTCCTCATGAGCGTCATCATCGGGCATAGGAGTAATCTCGTGTGACCCCATGGAAACATCCTCCAGGTGCTCCGTGGTAGTGATCTCGGCCGACTAAGTTCGAAAATGTAGTGAGCACAAAAGAAGGAAAAGAAAACTCAAACGGCTAAGGAGATGGATTTACCTCATCCTCGCCCACCGAAGTCATGACTTGCGCCCCAACTCCCTTCTCAAGTGTAGGAGGTTGAGTTTCCTACATTTTTGGGCATAAGGGTGAGTTTTTGCCCTTCAAAATTAAATGAATGAAAGAATGTAGAGATATAGGCTTACCGGAGCGGCGGATGAAGTGGTGGCCGATTGCACGGCCCCGACCGAATGAGAAGAGGAAGGAGGATCCGCGGCCTTGGGGAACCTGCAACAAGCTTATCTATTTTAGTCCTTAAAAAAAAAAAAAAAAAAAAAGTGCACGGCCAAACCTTGGGGTGAAAGGTTCCGCCGAACTTTTCTGGGCCGAAGGAATGTTTGAGAAGGCAAAATATTTCCGGCGGGGCTATCTCCTAAAAAAGTTGGAGTTTTAAGCTTTTAAATGTGCCCATCAAGAATTCAGAAGGCTAGAAGTGCAAATATTTAAAAAGGGCAAAAATAATCATGGAGGATGGCTTACCTTGGATGGGGGCGGTGGGCCTTTTCTCGCCCCGCCCAGAATTTGTATTGGCGGATTTGGCCAAGCTCTCTCTCTCAATAACCTTGGCGGGAGGATTTTCCTTCTCGGCGGTGTCAACTATGAGATTTGAAGGGTTAGGAAAAAGAAAGATAGCCAAAGAATTAAAATAGGAAGAAAGTGCAAACATTTTACCTTTTGCTTGGGCCTTCTTCTTCTCTTTCTCTTGTTGAAAGGCCAATGAGCATGGGCAATGCTTAAAGATCCTATCCTCAATCTCTGAGCATGGTTGAGAAAACCAACCGGCCGACATTTCTTTCCACCAATGGATAAAGATGTTAGAGTCACCAAACCGAGGATCTCTAATCGGAATACTGAAGGATTTCACCAAGTCTTGGTTGAAATCCGTCAAGGTGGCGACCTCTTTCGCATCTTTAAATTCCACCCGCCAAGAGGAGAGCAGGTTGACGGAATCCATGGGTGGTATAGGGATGCTCTGTATGAAACCAAGCTGGTAGCCGGCGGCGGCGGGATAATAAAGCTCACCACCACAATGATAATTGCTTCCCTTGTTCACCATTAGGCCATATGGAAGATCTCGGCTGATAAGGATGCTCGCCCACATATTATGTCTCTCATCTTTCGTCTCCGCCGTGGGATATGAGGAAAGATCCAGGGCTAGATAATCCGGGAAACGGTGATCAAGGCAAATGGAGAGATGCTCCCTAGTCCTCTCCTGGCACTCATAGAAAAAGCGGAAGCAATCCTCCACAAAATGCTTCCGCCGTGGGGCGTTGAGCAAAGGCGGACCCAAAAGTGCTTCATCGTTTGGGCAAACGGTGGTGGGACTTAACTCCGGAAAATATAACTGGAGCCATAATTGAAAAATCCATATGGGCCAGAAGCATGATAATCCATGGGTTTAGTGGTTACCTCACGGAGCCCTCTATAAAGATAGGCAAGAAAGATTGGGCCCATGGCCACTTGATGGCCATCCGCAAGCACCTCCGCCAAGGCTTGAAATTCCTTTGTGATCCCGCCGGATTTTGGGCATGCCAAGAACTTGCACAACCACATCACAAGGAAAGCCACGTGCTCAGTGTAGGATACGCCATTGATGGAAGGAGGGTCGGTGGGATCTCCGCCATGGCCAAGATATGTCTTCACCCAGCTCCCGGAATTCTTGTTTGACTTGTGAAAATCTAAGCCCACTTTGCCATCCGGAAGGTTGGCGGCCGAGAAATCCTCTCCATGAGGGCGGAGGCCGGCAATAGCGGCCAAGTCTAGCAAGTTGGGCGTCATCATCCCAAAGCGGAGCCTCATGCAATTGGTGGAGGAAGACCAAAAGCATAGGGCCGCAATGATGAGAGATCGGTCGCAAGGAAATGGACTCCCCGCACATAGGAGCAATGTATCATAAATCCCAATTTTCTTCCAATGGCCCTTCAATTTTGGTTCCAATGCCTTGAACCAATGATACCAATCAAACTTGCCATCCGCCGAGCTTGAGTGATCGGCCTTCCCGGCGGCGGATGATGCTTTCTTTGATGGGGCCTCCTTTGTTGCGGTGGGATCCGATTTGAGGGGGGTTCCCGTCGGCCAACCTTTAAATGGCTTGGCGCTCTCCCAAACGGATGCCCATGTGAAGTCTGAAAAATAGGTTGGGCCACTTCTTGGTTGCGTCACCCACACTTTGGCCACCTCCTCCGGATAGGCGGAGAAAAATGGGCCAAGAATATATTGGGCGGAGTTGGGAAAGGCATTGAGAAAATAGGCAAATACTTGCTTGCCCAAGTCTTTTCCATGGCCACCTTCATATCTTCAAAAAATTGGCCACTATCACTTGGAATAGATTCCATCCTACAAACATGGTGTAAAATCGAATCAAAGAAAAATATAGTAAAGCAAACAAGATTCGAATGAAGAACACGAAGAACATCATAGCACTATTCACATATTCAAAGTTTCAAGTCTAAACTTTTGAAGGCTATAGATGCATCAAAATCATACCAAAATCAACCAAGAGTTAGTGAAACGTACCTAGAAACTTGCAAATTTCAAGTTTGACGTTGGTTCGGGTGGATTTGGTGTGTGAAATGATAAATGTGAAGATGGAGAGGATATGGGTTTTGAGAAAACCTTCTAAAAGCCTATAGCTATGGTGGAAGTGCTTATGTGAGAATGAAAGGGACCTCTTGAATATTTGTAATATCTAGGGTTTTTAACGGATAGAAAGTTCGAAGGTCCCGCCAATTTAATTGGTGTCTTCCTAAATTCCTACCCGATTCAAAATTTAATAACGTGCAAGGCAAGCAAAAAGAAAAATCTCAAATTTCAGAAATTGAAAGGTCTTGGGTTTCGATTTGCTTACCTCTGCACCAATTTCGAGCTAAGCAAGTCGAGGGGGCAATGTTTGGGGGTGATAGAAACCCACCTAACCCGGGCACGAGAATTGGCCGGGCGCGAGAATTAGCTGGGCACGGGTGAAACGGGGCAGCTGGGTTTCGGAGTCCCTGGGCTTTCGAAAATGCGTCCGGGGCTCGTTAGATTGGGGCTTCGAGGGCTTGCTAGATTGGAGCGGCCGACTGTGTCGAATGATGGTGGCGGCTGTAGTTGTTTTCCTAGCAAGTTGGGCAGTTCGAGTGGAGTTGAAAATCTCAACCGGGATTGGAGAAATTCGCGGCCGGAGGTCCTCAAAGGAGGTGCGGCCGAGGATTGTGGATGAGTGAATTGTTGCCCGGTTTTTTGGACTGGAAGCTCTTTGTGGCTGGGGCCTTTGTCGGTCTCCAAAGTTAGGGCTGGAGTATCTGGGCTCTTTAGAAATCGGGCGGAAGAGTTTGCAAATATGCGGCCGGGCTGTTGAGATGGTGCGGTAGGAGGTGCTGGAGAAATTGGGAAATCTCGGCCGGGTCTCCAAGGAACCTCGTGGCGGCCGAGAATGTTGGAGCTGTTGGAAATATCGGCCGGGCTCTATGTCAAAGTGAGGCTGGATTGCGGCCGAAACATGGGAAGCCAAGATGCGACCGCAAGGAAAACCAAGATATGGCAGGTTGGGCCTTAGGATTTCCTGTGCGACTGGAGCTATGGGAATTTTTGGGCGCACAAATGTGACTGGGCTCTGCAAATTGTAACTTCCTTGCCTTATAATATATAATATATATATATATGTGAGTGAATATCACACATGCAGCCGAAAGTTTGAGGGAGTGGTGGCCGACTTGTGTTTGGTTTAAATGTTAGAATTATTGCCTTCAGTCTGTAGGGTTTGAGAGTTTAAATTATATATATATATAAATATATATATTACACATATGGGCCCTTTGAGTATTGAAGTCGCCAAGCATGAATTCTAGCATGCATGTTTCTATGCATAGTGGCTGGGCCAGTAGTTTGGATTGTTGATTCGTATAATATTTATATATATATATATATATATGAAAATAAGAATTGGATCAAGTTCCTCAGCAGACTAATTCTAGAGCTTCAGAAATCTAAAGATCACGAAGGGCACCCTCAAATTATGCCAAGAGATTAAAGGTTTTAGCTCAAGCCACCAATTTCAAGCCCAAGATTTTCGGAAGATTATGTGCACATGACGGAGGGCCTAAAGAAATCAAGGAATGACTCCGAATGATCCAAAACAAGGAAGAATCAAGCATGTCAGAATATCTCCTTCAATACAATCTCACGAATTTAGGAGGGCTTCGAAAGGAATGATTTTTAAGAAGAGTTGACATTTGGCCATTCAATGGCCAGCCCATGGGCTGACGAGTGCCCTATATAAACCTTGCTCCATGAAGACATCAGACACACGACATCAGACAAACAAACCTATCTTTCGTCTCGCACTTTTCTTTTCCTAGACTTAGGATTTTATTTTTCAAGCACCTAGTGTAGTGAGTTCTTCATATTTCTAGTGTAAGTTTATATTTTCCTTGTCATTTAAATTCTCGTTCAATTTATATTTCTTGTCATTTCAATTCAAGTTTATTTTGATTCCTTTACATTTAATTGTTATCGCACTTCGATTAAATTTAACTTCAAGTTTATTTCTTTTTCGTTCTTATCGTTCTTATCGCTTTTATTTTATTCTTGCTTTATCTATCGCTTTGATTTATTTTATCGCCTTTCAATTCTTGTCTTTACGTTTATATGCATATTTAGTTTAATTGCATTATTTTTACTTAAACCATAAAAACCACAAAAAACATCCATACGAAACCTAACCATTCTCGAGCCCGAGAAAGTGAAAGAATCTAGGCCAAGAAGAGGTTCCTTGCTTGGCCGATCAATCGTTTGGTCAGAAGTTAGAAGCGCAACACATCCATCTATTCTCATTCCACTCAAGCCCAATTTCGGGGCTTGGTGGTGGCACGCCCCGCATCCAAAAGAAGAAGGACCAAAAGTTCCTTCCATCGGCCGCCCCGGCCGAAAAGAGGGTAACAGCTATATGTAAGAACAAGTTGATTTAATCTTCCATTAAAAACAACAAATTGCTTTAATAATGATAATTAAAATAAGTACGATTCCTTTAGAAGTCAGATCAGTTTAGAGCTTCATTGCTTTTAACATTTGCGGTGATTCATTATTATTATTAACATTTGCGGAAATGGACTTTAGAAATACAGTCAAAGCTCATTTACAACTTATTTAAGAGGCTCCAAACTTCCTATAAATTACGTTACTGTCATCGATTTCTTAAAACAAACCCAACCATAAAACCTAGAACATAAGTTTAAAACATTCTAATAAGCTCAATACATATGGTCTGCCTATATATAGGATGAAAAAAAATTACATAAACAACATATATAACTATATGTTTCTTTTAAGAATAAAAAATACCTATATGTTTGAGAAACAAAATAATAAAACTAAAACATAGGTTAAAAACATTCTAATAAACTCAATACATATGGTCTACGTACTATATAGGATGAAAAAATTACATGAACAATATACCTACACCATGGGAACACTACTGTATATTTGAACACATAAACACGTGTTCAAGGTTATATATTTCATTACCTTCACAATATTCATCAAAACCCACCATGGGAACATTCATATAGGCACAACATAACATACCTACACTATAGGAACACTCGTGTATATTTGAACACAAGAAGACATGTGCACGGTTCATGTGAAGTAAGAAGATGAAGAGGAAATAAAGAAGAATAATACAACAGAAAATGGAGATGAGAAAAAAAAACACGAATGATAAAAAATGAATTGACAATTATAGATATTAGATCTAATATTAAATGTAATAACTTTTGATCTAAAATGAACATTAAATCAAACAATAATTAAAAGATTTGACAATGTAAAAAGTTATTGAGGACTAAAAAAGGCAAAAACATTTGAAAAATGGAAACAATAAATATGAGCTGAGTCATCAGCTCACTATGGTAAGTTTGCTGACGTGTAAAAATAGTCAATGGGTTAGATTATCATTTGTGAGTAACTAAAAGGGAGTTTCACTAAAACACCCAAAATGGGGGCTGAAATTATAAAAAAACCCAACATCCAAAACACTTTATAAACACACCCAAAACCCATCATTACACACACTCAAAACCCATTTATAAACACACCCAAAAAATATACAATTGTTGATTTTGGGTGTGTTTCTATGTTTAAATAGTACTTGGGTTTTTTTATAAATACATGTCTAGAATTGGGTTTATTCATAAATTTGTATAACTAAAATCTCGTTTAACAACAAGAGTTAACGTTTGTATAGAGAAGGATAAAAACTTGATGATGTGTCATGTTCTAAAGAGTTAAATTATTATAATAGCTTAGATTTAACGAAATACAGGTAAATGCGTAATGTCTAAATGTAAAGGCTTGGAATCCCCAACTACCATTGAAACATAAGAAACTAAAATCTTCAAGAAAATGCTATCAACTGAAAAAACAATAAATAAAAAACAAAAAAGGAAGGGAATTTGCACCTGCTCTGATGGGTTCAATGATTTTTTCTTCTTCTTCTTTTTGTTGTGGAAATGAAAAGCTCAATGATGGGCTCAATGATTGAATTAATATCTTCTATCTACCATCTTCCTCGCTATAAACACAAATGGGGCAGACCAGCACGTGGACTTGGGTTGACAAGAATAAGACAAACAGCGACACAGACCTAACATTCATACTTCTTTTTTTTCTTTTTCTTTTTGGTTCTTTAGATCCAGTTGCACATTCCAAAGAAAGAAAACCTCAGGCATGCAATGCAAGCTCTTTTCCCATGTTTTCCTCTGTTTTTCTCCTATTATGGAAGTGATTAAAACACACCTCTAAGCTTGTTTTGCATTTGGTAGCAGACTGTGTAAAAGCTCAATGCAGATAGTTTGAGGTAGAATTTTCTCCTATTTCACTTGCACAATGAGGAGCTATATGTAACAACAAATTAACTGGCGATGGTTTTTTTTTTTTTTTTTTTTTTTTGTTGTTTTTTGTGAAGAAGGGCCGATGGTCTTTAACTTGGTGAAAGCTTCTATCTACCTACCCTGCTCTATGGGCTATGCAATGGTGATGGTGTTACATGACGTCACAATGTCGTAGGAAAAAAAATAATAGTCAAAGTTTCTTATTATAATGTTAATACATGCATAGCAAAGAGCTTGTAACTTCAGTAGTTAAGAGCAGCTATTCACTCACTTGAGATTATGTGTTCAATCGAATCCCCTCTCCTCAATATTGCTTGTATAAAAATAATTTTTGAAGTAGAATTTTCTCCAATTTTACTAGCACAGTGATGAGCTATACTATATGTAACAACAAATTGCTTTAATAATGATAATTAAAAAAAGAGATATTTAGTAATATACCCATTCTTAGCACTAAAACTATAAATAAACCCTACATCATTTCATTTTTATAAACATACCCAAAAAAAACCCAAAAAATGACAAATGGTACTATTAAATTTAATTTTAATTATTAAATTACTTTGATACCCTATTGAGTGTTTTGGGCTTTTTTATGAAATTTTGGGTTAGGTTTGTTTTAAGAAATCAATGGCAATTTTGTAATTTAAAAGAAGTTAAAAGCCTTTTTGTTATGTTATAAATGGGCTTTGAGTGTGTTTATAAATTCCATTTCATATAGGGTTTTTTTATAATTTGGGCTCCTATATTGAGTATATTAGTGAATCTCTCTTAAAAAAAGTGTGATTCATTGAATATTTGTGGGGTTTTGTTTCAAGTCAACACATCAAATTCCTTTTACACCATGAAATGCAAAAAGTTTTAGAGATATTTAGTCAAATACCCATTCTTGGCACTAAAACTATAAATAAACCCTACATCATTTAATTTCTATAAACATACCCAAAAAATGACAGTTGGCCATATTGAATTTAATTTTAATTATTAAATTACTTTGATGCCCTATTAAGTGTTTTGGACTTTTTTATGAGGTTTTTGGGTTGGGTTTGTTTTAAGAAATCAATGGCAGTTTTGTAATTGAAAAGAAGTTACAAGCTTTTTGTTATGTTGTAAATGGACTTTGGGTGTGTTTCTAAAGTCCATTTCATATAGGGTTTTTTTATAATTTGAGCTCCTATATTGGGTTTTATAGTGAATCTCCCAAAGTTTTATTCAACCATCTCGACCTTATGCTCGATCATTTTCCACAAGCAACCGTCCACGTACCCTAATAATTTAAAAGGGCTGATGATCTTTAATTTGGTGAAAGCTTCTATCTACCTACCGT